ACAGCTACACTCCTGTGGCCAGAAGGATGGCAAGGGGCTCGGCTGCAGCTGCACCCGTGTCCTCATAAGGAGCAACACCTGCAAGTTGACCTTAAGAAATTCAAAATATACATAAAACCAGAAAAAAAATGTATATTAAAATACAGGTCAGCTTCACAAGTAGGCTTGCCTAAACAAAAAAGTTTTCAGCAGGCACTAAAAATAACACAATGAAGGTGGAGTTCCAGTGTGTAGTTGCTGCCATGCTGCAAGATTGATTCCTTACAGGTGTGAGATGAACATTATGTGACAATTGTACAAGTGTCAGTCCCGTGGATTGATGTGGCCAAGGAAGCACACATGGGACAAGGTAATCCATGCAGGAGCTATCCATTTGTGCAATAACCAGAGAGGTCCTTTTCTGATGTGTCCCTTCAGTTGTGGAATTCCCCACCCCTGACACAGAGGGCACCATCTCTCTCTCTTTGCTTTCTGGTATCTGCTCAGAACATGGTTGGTGTTCAGTTTGGGATGTTTATAGATAGGCTCTGTAGTTATACATTGGTTGGTTGGTCTATGTTGCCAGTATGTATAGCTTAAAAATAATAATGATGATGATAACTGTAGTATTAGTAAAATTTATATTTTATTCTATCTAGACTAAGCAGGATATAAATGTTGTACATAAATAAATAGCAGCCTCTACTCCATATGCAACAAAAAGAGTTATGGGGTAGATGAACTTCATTGCCACATAACGGAAACCAGCAGCGCTCTTTTTCTAGAAAAAGAGGTGCCAGAACTCATCATGAACACCTCCCTTGTTCTCTTATTATGGCAATAGTGCTCACCTGAGAGGTGCCAGAACTGAGTTCCTGTGAGTTCCAGCTGAAAAAAGTTCTGGAAACCAGATACATTAACTCCCTCTGGAGCAGGGGTAGGCAACCTAAGGCCCATTTGCCTTCTCAATCCAGCCCACAGATGGTCCGGGAATCAGCATGTTTTTACATGAGTAGAATGTGTCCTTTTATTTAAAATGCATCTCTGGTTTATTTGTGGGGCATAGGAATTCGTTCATCCCCCCCCCCCCATATAGTCCGGCCCCCCACAAGGTCTGAGGGACAGTGGACCGGCCCACGGCTGAAAAAGGTTGCTGATCCCTGCTCTGGAGGTTAATAAGTGTTGTTTGTTTGTTTGTTTTCATTTTATCCAAGATTTTCCAACTGTTCAAGTAATTGCAAATATGGAACTGTTTTAACTGTAGGAAGGAGACACAACACATTTTTCTACCACTAGATGACAGTAAACTGACTTTAAACTAAGAACATACTTAGTAAGATACAGCATTCTGCTGCTGCTGCTGCTGCAAAGAAAATCAGTTTGCTTCCCCCAAATCCTACTATGCAGAAGGCGTGAGGGATTATTCACTGGCAAGAGGTCTCCAGGTTTCCCTGGCTCCTTCCTGGTGGCAGGTTGAGGGCTTGACTCTCCAGGTGTGGCGGTGTGGCTGCTGTTGCTTTTAATTTTTTGTATATTAATTTTGGATCATATGATTTATGTGGTAATGTTGAATTTGATTGTGTACTTTTTGACATTTTGTTTATTGTTCATGACTACTTTTGTTATGTTTGTAGCTGCGTAATTTTTTTATATGTTTTAAGTCGCCTTGAACATTATTTTAACTTTGGAAAAGTAGCATACAAATAAAATGATTGATTGACTGAAATGAACAAGAGTGCCTTTAATACCTTAAAAAAAAATATACTAAGACTGTACATGTAGCTTTCAAGATTCAACCCAGCAGGAGCTGGCTGCAAATTATAGCATAGGGTAGTCTGCCTTCCTGCCCTCCCCTCTCCCAATTAACTTCCGTCTCCAGGGCCCATTTGTGTGCCCTCACCAGGGGCCACCCCTAGGTCTCAGGGTCTGGGCTGCTCCTGACCTGGCTCTGCTAACTGGCAGAGATCATTGTAGTGTAACCTCGGAACCTCTTTTTAGTGCCAGAGCTCTGGATCATGCAAATCTACTATGAAAGAAGAACGCTTCTAAATATTTGCAGATTGCCTTTCTGTCACCTCATAACTTCCAACCAACACCCATGCATTTGGAATTGCAGTGTGGGGAGGGAAGAGAGTATGCCTTCCAGACAAGACTAAGAGTCAGCACATTTCTTTTTAGATATTAGCCACTGGAATTCCTCTGAAGCTTATTGTAAATTTCTTAATGAGAAGATTAGTAGTGGAGGATCAACTGGACAGAGAGATGTTTTTATTCCTTTCTCATAACAACAGAGCTCAGGGTCCTGCCATGAAGCAGATGGAGAGGAGACTCAGGACAGGCAAAGTGAAGTACTTCCTTACACAGTTCGTAATTGCTACCACAAGATCAGGCAATAACCACTCGCTTCCATAGCTTCAGTTTGGGCTAGGCTCACCTGGCTTTGACCATTCTCCATTATACTAGCCATGAGTGTTGTCATAAGTGGGTGTGGGCACCCCACATGCTACACAAACCACACACAGGGACACATTCATAGCATCACTGCAGTGGATTCGAACTTCCATTGCAGTGCCAGGACAGGAGGAGAGCTTTAAATACAGAGCTTGGTATCCTGTTCTCGTGTGCATTCCCACTTTACAAACAGTTGATAGTGTGGCCAAATAGTCCCAGCCTTCCATATGCAGTGTTCTGCATGTGCCCAGTCTTTTGCAATGTGCAAGGAATTCTTGGAAGCCTGAAGGAAATCCCTCAATATCACAGTGGAAACATATTGCTATGAAGGTTGCATGCCTTCCTAATCTCTGCCAAACGATAGCAAAATTCCAGGGGGTTCCAGGCGCTCACCCAGGGTTAGAATCATAGAATCATAGAGTTGGAAGAGACCACAAGGGCCATCGAGTCCAACCCCCTGCCAAGCAGGAAACACCATCAGAGCACTCCTGACATATGGTTGTCAAGCCTCTGCTTAAAGACCTCCAAAGAAGGAGACTCCACCACACTCCTTGGCAGCAAATTCCACTGTCGAACAGCTCTTACTGTCAGGAAGTTCTTCCTAATGTTTAGGTGGAATCTTCTTTCTTGTAGTTTGGATCCATTGCTCCGTGTCCGCTTCTCTGGAGCAGCAGAAAACAACCTTTCTCCCTCCTCTATGTGACATCCTTTTCTATATTTGAACATGGCTATCATATCACCCCTTAACCTCCTCTTCTTCAGGCTAAACATGCCCAGCTCCCTAAGCCGTTCCTCATAAGGCATCGTTTCCAGGCCTTTGACCATTTTGGTTGCCCTCGTCTGGACACGTTCCAGTTTGTCAGTGTCCTTCTTGAACTGTGGTGCCCAGAACTGGACACAGTACTCCAGGTGAGGTCTGACCAGAGCAGAATACAGTGGCACTATTACTTCCCTTGATCTAGATGCTATACTCCTATTGATGCAGCCCAGCATTGCATTGGCTTTTTACGCTGCCGCGTCACACTGTTGGCCCATGTCAAGTTTGTGGTCAACCAAGACTCCTAGATCCTTTTCACATGTACTGCTCTCAAGCCAGGTGTCCCCCATCTTGTATTTGTGCCTCTCATTTTTTTTGCCCAAGTGCAATACTTTACATTTCTCCCTGTTAAAATTCATCTTGTTTGTTTTGGCCCAGTTCTCAAATCTGTCAAGGTCGTTTTGAAGTGTCAAGGTCGTTTTGAAGGGTTGTGTTTCTGTTGGGAATTCAAGGCACAGTGGAGGCTAGTGTCTTTAAGAAATATGGTTTATTTTACACATATTTACACCTAAAGTCTTCGGTGTTGGGGGAGCAGAATGTTATACCCCAAGAGTGTCTCTCATTGCCCCTCTCTTAGCTTCAGCAAGCTGGGGTCCAAAGCAGCAGTCGGTCATGGCTCCCAGTCTCTCGGGGCAGCCTCTTCCAGCCAGTGCCAAGATGTCCCCACATGGAGTTCTGCCTACCTCCCCCTCCTTGTCCCCATAACACCTTGCTCATCCCTCTGTGTAAAAGGACACTTTTCCCCTGAGGGCACAGCCTGCCTCCTCTCCTGTTTCCAATCCTAAACCTTTCTCTGCTCATGGTGACCATGGCAACTCTGTTTTGCACAGACCCAAGGATCCTTCTTTGATGTGTAGGTAACTGGCCATTGTTTGATAATGGCTTGCATACATCCAGCCTGGTCAGGCTAGTTTTCATAGGCAAGTCCCAGAATTTCTGTGTTTGGCACAGTTCAGGAGAACTGCTACAGCCTGAATTTTCCCTTCAATATCCCAAATATTATCACTTATTAATTTCTAACATTCATTAACTTTAGCTGTTATGGGTGCCCTTGTACCCCTAAACTCTATTACCCCAGATCTGCAACAGTATTAGGAATTGAAGGAATGCCCAACCTCTGTGGGTCCTGTTGTGTCTCGTTAACATAGCTTTGCATGGATGTGATCACCACTGGGTCACACTGCTGGCACATATTTCCTGTGTCATCATTTGAGTGTTCCAATCATCTGAGATGACTAAGAAATATGGAATGGCTAGTCTGAAATATTAGAATTACTAGTCAGCCACATAAAAGAATGAAGAGGATTTGGAAACAGGTTGTGACAACACATTTCTAACATACCTAGGCTGAGTACACACCAGAATGTTAATGAGCCCATGGGTTGCACAAGTAGGATTCTGTTTGAGTGCATGTTCGTTTGCACCCCCGGGCGCTTACAACTGAATTCTATCTCAATGTTTTCTGTCCACACTAGTGGGTGGCACTTGATAGGATGCATCCGCACAGTGTGTTGTTGTCCCCTCCCCTCCCCACCTTCTCTGTGTTCCAGAAACCTCCGGCCATGGTGGGCATGTGTTTGTATGCAGCTAATTTATTCGTTTGTCTTAGCTACAAGTTTTCCAATATACCACACTCAACATGCCTCCCCAGCAGAAGTAGGCAATAGATGGCACTGAGTAAAACATCCCCATGCACTTAATGCCGTTACCAGCAGACACACAAGGTGCTCCAGTATACCCAGAGTTGGGTGACATGCAGTTTTATGTTGAGTCCCCCCCCCCCCCTTACCACATTATCGGCAGATCAGGAAAATCAGAATCGAATGAGGGTAAAGTGTGGGACCAGAGGATTAGAGAAGATCAGTGTACATCCCAATCCCAAAGAAAGGCAGTGCCAAAGAATGCTCCAACTACCGCACAATTGCACTCATTTCACACGCTAGCAAGGTTATGCTTAAAATTCTACAAGGAAGGCTTAAGCAGTATGTGGACCGAGAACTCCCAGAAGTGCAAGCTGGATTTAGAAGAGGCAGAGGAACCAGAGACCAAATTGCAAACATGTGCTGGATTATGGAGAAAGCTAGAGAGTTCCAGAAATATATCTACTTCTGCTTCATTGACTATGCAAAAGCATTTGACTGTGTCGACCACAGCAAACTATGGCAAGTTCTTAAAGAAATGGGAGTGCCTGATCACCTCATCTGTTTCCTGAGAAATCTCTATGTAGGACAAGAAGCTACAGTTAGAACTGCATATGGAACAACTGATTGGTTCAAAATTGGGAAAGGAGTACGGCAAGGCTGTATATTGTCTCCCTGCTTATTTAACTTATATGCAGAATTCATAGAATCATAGAATCATAGAATCATAGAGTTGGAAGAGACCACAAGGGCCATCGAGTCCAACCCCCTGCCAAGCAGGAAACACCATCAGAGCACTCCTGACATATGGTTGTCAAGCCTCTGCTTAAAGACCTCCAAAGAAGGAGACTCCACCACACTCCTTGGCAGCAAATTCCACTGTCGAACAGCTCTTAGTGTCAGGAAGTTCTTCCTAATGTTTAGGTGGAATCTTCTTTCTTGTAGTTTGGATCCATTGCTCCGTGTCCGCTTCTCTGGAGCAGCAGAAAACAACCTTTCTCCCTCCTCTATGTGACATCCTTTTATATATTTGAACATGGCTATCATATCACCCCTTAACCTCCTCTTCTCCAGGCTAAACATGCCCAGCTCCCTTAGCCGTTCCTCATAAGGCATCGTTTCCAGGCCTTTGACCATTTTGGTTGCCCTCCTCTGGACACGTTCCAGTTTGTCAATGTCCTTCTTGAACTGTGGTGCCCAGAACTGGACACAGTACTCCAAGTGAGGCCTGACCAGAGCAGAATACAGTGGCACTATTACTTCCCTTGATCTAGATGCTATACTCCTATTGATGCAGCCCAGAATTGCATTGGCTTTTTAGCTGCCGCGTCACACTGTTGGCTCATGTCAAGTTTGTGGTCAACCAAGACTCCTAGATCCTTTTCCCATGTACTGCTCTCAAGCCAGGTGTCCCCATCTTGTATTTGTGCCTCTCATTTTTTTTGCCCAAGTGCAATACTTTACATTTCTCCCTGTTAAAATTCATCTTGTTTGTTTTGGCCCACTTCTCTAATCTGTCAAGGTCGTTTTGAAGTGTGATCCTGTCCTCTGGGGTGTTAGCCACCCCTCCCAGTTTGGTGTCATCTGCAAATTTGATCAGGATGCCCTTGAGTCCATCATCCAAGTCGTTGATAAGGATGTTGAATAAGACCGGGCCCAAGACAGAACCCTGTGGCACCCCACTAGTCACTCTTCTCCAGGATGAAGAGGAACCATTGATGAGCACCCTTTGGGTTCGGTCAGTCAGCCAGTTACAAATCCACTGAGTGGTAGCATAGTCAAGACCGCATTTTACCAGCTTCTTTACAAGAATATCATGGGGCACCTTGTCAAATGCCTTGCTGAAATCAAGGTAGGCTACATCCACTGCGTTCCCTTCATCTACCAGGCTTGTAATTCTGTCAAAAACGAGATCAGGTTAGTCTGACATGACTTATTTTTCAGAAATCCATGCTGACTATTGGTGATCACAGCATTCCTTTCTAGGTGCTCACAGACTGTTTGCTTAATGATCTGCTCCAGAATCTTCCCTGGTATTGATGTCAGACTGACTGGGCGGTAATTATTTGGGTCCTCTCTTTTCCCCTTTTTGAAAATAGGGACAACATTTGCCCTCCTCCAGTCTGCCGGGACTTCGCCTGTTCTCCCGAAATTCTCAAAGATGACTGCCAGTGGTTCTGAGATCACATCTGCCAGTTCTTTTAATACTCTTGGATGCAGTTCATCTGGCCCTGGAGACTTGAATACATCCAAACTAGCCAAGTATTCTTGTACTATCTCCTTAGTTATTCTGGGCTGTGTTTCCTCTGCTGAATCATTTGCTCCAAATTCTTCAGGTCGGGCATTGTTTTCTTTATCGGAGAAGACTGAGGCAAAGAAGGCATTGAGGAGTTCAGCCCTTTCTGTGTCCCCTGTTTGCATTTCACCATCTTCTCCTCTGAGTGACCCCACTGTTTCTTTGTTCTTCCTTTTGCTACTGAACATACCCATAAAAGCCTTTTTTGTTGCTTTTAACCTCTCTAGCAAGCCTGAGTTCATTCTGTGCTTTAGCTTTTCTGACTTTGTGTCTACACGTGCTGGCTATTTGTTTGAATTCCTCTTTGGTGGTTTCCCCCTTTTCCATTTATGTACACATCCTTATTTAATCTTAACTCAGTTAAAAGTTCTTTAGATAGCCACCCTGGCTTCTTTAGGCACCTTCCATGTTTCCGTCTCATTGGTATTGCCTGACTTTGTGCTTTTACTATCTCCCTCTAAACAAACTCCCAGCCATCATGAACTCCCTTTCCTTTTAGTATTACTGTCCATGGGATCTCACCCAGCACTTCCCTAAGTTTTATGAAGTCGGCTTTCTTAAAGTCAAGAAATTGAGTCCTAGTATGCTTGGCTGCTCCTTTCCGCTGTATAGTAAACTTCAGAAGAGCATGATCACTCGCGCCTAATGATCCTTCCACTTCTACCCCACTAACCAGGTCATCAACATTGGTTAGGACCAGATCTAAAATGGCTGTTCCTCTTGTTGCTTCTCCCACTTTCTGGACAATGAAGTTGTCTGCAAGGCCAGTGAGGAATCTGTTTGACCTTATGCTCTTGGCTGAGTTTGACATCCAACAAATATCCGGGTAATTGAAGTCCCCCATTACTACTATCTCCCTTCCTTTTGCATGCTTGGCCATCTGTTCCAGGAAGGCATCATCTATGTCCTCCGTTTGGCTTGGGGATCTATAGTAAACTCCCACAATGAGGTCACTGTTATTCTTCTCTCCCTTAATTTTGACCCAAATGCTCTCACTTTGGCTTTGAGGTTCTAAATCTTGGATCTCTTCACAGGTATATACATCCCTGACATATAACGCCACTCCTCCTCCTTTCTTGTCTGGTCTGTTTCTCTGAAGTAGATTGTATCCCCCCATTATTACATTCCAATCGTGGGACTTATCCCACCAGGTTTCAGTGATGCCTATTATGTCATATTTAGTTTGCTGTACCAAGAGCTCAAGCTCATCTTGTTTATTTCCCATGCTTTGCGCATTAGTGTACAGACATTGAAGTCCATTAATCATTCCTCCGTGTCTCTTATTTAAGGATTTTTTCCTCCCACCACTAGGTCTGCGTGCTGTTTGCTCCATTTGGTCTATGGCATTTGGATGATCATCTTCATCAATTGATAGACTCCTACCTTCAGGAGCACTGTCTCCCTCCCCACATTAGTCAGTTTAAAGCCCTCCTGATGAGGTTTCTGAGATTTTTGGCAAAAACATTTCTCCCAACTGTTGTGAGGTGCAGCCCATCGCTTGCCAGAAGTCCATCTTCAAGAAACTGCAGTCCGTGATCTAAGAATCCAAACCGTTCCTGTTTACACCATTTGCGAAGCCAGCTGCTCACTTCCACTATTTTTCCCTCTCTCCCTGGGCCACGTCGTTCAACTGGGAGGACAGATGAGATGACAATTTGTGCATTTAATTGCATCAATTTCCTGCCCAGAGCCTCGTAGTCTCTTTTGATCTTCTGGAGGCTATTGCTTGCAGTGTCATTGGTTCCCACATGAACCAAGAGGAAGGGGTATTTGTCAGTGGGTTTTATGATTCCTTGCAGTCGTTCAGTTACATCTTGGATCTTAGCCCTGGGAGACAGCACACTTCCCGAGACATCTTGTCAGGCCCACAGATCACTGCTTCTGTTCCCCTCAGTAGGGAATCCCCTATCACCACTACACGCCTCCTCTTAGGTTTGGTCAGGGTTCTTCCGTGAGCTGTCCATTCCAAGGTCGCCTGCACATTCCCTGAGGACTGACTTTGCTGCTCATCTTCATATACCTGATCGACTATAATGAGGGAGAGATCCTCAAATGGAGTCTGCTCTTCGTCTTCCATGCTAGGGGAGAGGACCTCAAAGCGATTGTGTATTTCTAAACAATCATGCGAAAGGCTGGACTGGATGAATCCCAAGCCGGAATTAAGATTGCCGGAAGAAATACCAACAACCTCAGATATGCAGATGACACAACCTTGATGGCAGAAAGTCAGGAGGAATTAAAGAACCTTTTAATGAGGGTGAAAGAGGAGAGCGCAAAATATGGTCTGAAGCTCAACATCAAAAAAACGAAGATCATGGCCACTGGTCCCATCACCTCCTGGCAAATAGAAGGGGAAGAAATGGAGGCAGTGAGAGATTTTACTTTCTTGGGCTCCATCATCACTGCAGATGGTGACAGCAGCCACGAAATTAAAAGACGCCTGCTTCTTGGGAGAAAAGCAATGACAAACCTAGACAGCATCTTAAAAAGCAGAGACATCACCTTGCCAACAGAGGTCCATATAGTTAAAGCTATGGTTTTCCCAGTAGTGATGTATGGAAGTGAGAGCTGGACCATAAAGAAGGCTGATCGCCGAAGAATTGATGCTTTTGAATTATGGTGCTGGAGGAGACTCTTGAGAGTCCCATGGACTGCAAGAAGATCAAACATATCCATTCTTAAGGAAATCAGCCCTGAGTGCTCACTGGAAGGACAGATCCTGAAGCTGAGGCTCCAATACTTTGGCCACCTCATGAGAAGAGAAGACTCCCTGGAAAAGACCCTGATTTTGGGAAAGATGGAGGGCACAACGAGAAGGGGATGACAGAGGATGAGATGGTTGGATAGTGTTCTCGAAGGTACCAGCATGAGTTTGACCAAACTGCAGGAGGCAGTGGAAGACAGGAGGGCCTGGCATGCTCTGGTGCATGGGGGTCATGAAGAGTCGGACACGACTAAACAACAACAACAAAGTGTTGGCTGCCACTTGGGTGAGAATGTCATGTAGATGTCTTGAAGAACATGTACCTGTGGGATGCACAGAATCCACTATAAAGTGATGTTTGTATACAGTCCTACTCAGAAGTAAAACTCATGTAGTTCAATGGGGCATGCTCCCAGACACTGGCAGACTGTAAGGTACCACTGTCGGGGGTAGGCACACAGGGCGCTCCCCTGAGTGAGGGACGCACTTGTGTGCCGCAACCCAGTAGAAGAGTCCACTCTGGGTCAGACCTTGGTCAGCTCCCTCATGCGCTGGAGCCAGGCTCCAATGAAGGAGCGTGTTGTGGGGGCACCTGGTTGCACCCCCTCCCAAAATTGCACCCAGAACCGCGGGGGCCCTCAGCTCCCCCACACCATGCCATTGCTGCCAGACAAGTGGGTATAACATGGCAGTCTGAATCTGGAGGATGTTGTGGCTATCAGCTTGGATGACTTTAAAAGTGGTTTAAACCAATGAATGGAAACCAGTCATGATGGCTGCATATTATTATCTCCAGTATCCGAGGCATTAGGTCTTTGTTGCTGAGGTTGCCCTCATGTCCTGCTTGTGGGCTTCCCTTTGGCACCTGACTGGCCACTGTGAGAACAAGAGGGCTAAAGGGGCCTTTGGTCTGATCCAGCAGGTCTCTTCTCATGTTCCTAAGCCTCCACATGAAGACAAAACCAGTTGCCAGGAAAGCGCCAAACTCTTCCCTGAACCACCTGTCCCTCACTCTTTTTTCAAGAAATGTAACAAGGCACCAATTTCCTGAGGCAGCCATGCTCGTCTGTCCAGGCAAATCTTGTAGCAGTTCCATATCTAACAGACTGATTACGGCACAAGCGTTGATGGTCTTACAGTGTAATTCCTAACATGTCTACTCAAAACCAAGTCCTATTAAACTGAGTGGGGGCTTACACCCAGGTGGGTAAGGCTAGCGTTGCAGCCTGATTTATAGACTGTGTTAGAGAGGGAGATTCATAAAACAATGAAGGCAAGAAACCATCTCTGACAGTTCTATGCAAAGCTCATCTTGCATGCAAGATAAGAACAAAATGACCAGTACACACTGCAGTCTTTCTGATGGATTTACTAGTTGCAATGGGAAGGAAACTCACACGAACCTGATGGAAGCCATATTTAAATAGCATCCAATTTGGTGATGAATTAGAGCCCAGCAGCTTCTCTTTGTAGTCTTTTTTTGCCGAAGAACCATAGCACTCAGGTCATCAGTGGGAGAGACTGTAATGTTTTCCTACTGGTTCTGAATGTCACACTTTAGGGAGGTCAAGTGTTGTGTTCATTTATCCTTTTGCATAAGGTAGCCCTGTGTCTCGCCATTCGCTCTGCTGAGTGACTCTGCTGGAGCCCCTTGCTCCACAGCCCTCATTTCTCTTCTTCTTTGATTCCCTTTGTCTCTGACAAATGCAAATCCTTCCTCTCTGCATGCCAGGTTGTTAGTCCTTGGGCTTTTTCATGAGTTACACTAAAAGTGCCTTGTAGTTTGGCATGTGTCACTTGTGAACGTTGTTGTTGGAGCACTGAAAGCAGAGGAGAGCTACATTCTAGACTAGTAGTTCCCAAACATTTCTTTTTTTGGCAATAGATCACTCCCAAATTGCTGAAGGTCTTAGCAGACTACTTAATTATTTTTCTGCCTGATGTAGCAATTGTAATGTACTGTGCTACATGCAAGATGCTTTTAAAGTTGTTGTTTTTTGCTTTTTTCTATTGTATTATACTCTATTACAATTTGAATACCACAGGATTCAAAGTGTAATACAATAAAGTGTGATATAATAAATACATGAAGCAATTAATACAATTAAAAATTGTAATTAATTATTACAATTAAAAATACAATTAAAAATCAACATGAATATATAATGTGATGGGTATGACCTCTTCTGTCTTCAATCAGAAATTCGCAGACCACTAGAAAGAAGTTCATGGACCACTGCTGTACCACAGTTTGAGAACTTCTGTTTTAGCCAGCGTGCTTTTTTGTTCCAAGAGGATAAATAATGCAAATGAGTCATCTGGGTATTGCAAACAGATTGTTAGCAACAGGTATATTTTTTTAAAAAAAATAAATTGCTGGATTTTCCATGGATTAAATGGGGAAGGGGAATTGGTTAGCACCCATTTGCCTCAGGAGACAATGGAGGAGTGTGCCTTTGGGTATGAAGTCAAACTGTTGGAAGGTTGCAGCACCTGCTGTGGCTGTGGAGACCAATGCGGGAGAGCTTTGTTTTGTTGCAGTTGGGGCAGATGAAGGTGTCCAGTTGGGCTGCTGCACATGCACCAGGGTGTTTCTTCTCTCTGCGCTCATCCCAGTGGTCTTTCATCCTCTGGATACACAACCTGACTGACTGTCTCCAGGCGATGTGGTTGCCTGCAATGGATTCTCACAGGGCAGGGTGCACGAGCAGCTCCAATTCCACAATAAATGCCCATCTGGAAGCACTCTAAAGATATATTTGTACCTAAGTGCTATTTAGGCCAAATGTGATAATCAAAGATGGTATGTGTAAGACAGAGTTTGCAGAGTCTGTTGCCCAGCAGATGTTGTTAGATGGCCAATCTAACAATGTTAGATTGGCCATTGTTATGTTGGTTGAGGCTGATGGGCGTTGTAGCCAAAGAACATCTGGAAGGCCGCAGTTCCCCACCCCACTGCATCCCTGGTGCAAAAGAAAACTTATGTAGCAAACTCATTCTCCAAGGATGGATCTTTATGCAGACAAAGCAGCAGCACTTATCGGCAAGTAGGAGGTATCAGCAGGATTGAGAGGACACCAATATTTGAAGACTTATAATTATTTAAATAGAATAGAGGGACCCTCCAAAACAGCCCCATGATGACGGGGCGTACTCAGTAGCCACAAAAAAACAGTGTCTGTTGGGCAGAGGAAAAACAGAAAAAAGTCAAAATGAAATGGAACAACGCCTGACTGGCTGACTCCCTGAGCAGCATCCATTCAAACGGCAACATTTTGTTGCAGATTCCACTTGTTGAGGTGAACACACAAGTTATAGGTGCATTTAAATAGATTGATTTCAGTGGGGCTCAGTTCTGCATTGGATGTAGACCCTAATGTCTGCTCTAGACCAGTCTTCACCAGTCTGGTGTACTCCAGATGTTGAGGGTGAAGCTGATGGGAGTTGTAGTCCAATAACATCTGGAGAGCAGCAAGTTGGAGAACGCTGCTCTGGACGATGCGCTGCAGAATTATTTCTACAACATAAACCTCGCCCCGCGTAATCGATCACAAGACGCGGCGAACAATGCCCGTCCACTTTGGGGACTTTTATTGGGGCGAGAGCTGATTGTTACGCGAAGAGTCCCTGGGCGCCTCGGGCTCGCCTGCCCCGTCGGACTCCCTGCCCGGCTCGCCTCCCTCCGTGCGCTGCCTTGCGCGCTCCCTCCTCCCTCCCGCGCAGTCATTGGCTGCAGCGCTGGATGCTGCGCAGGCTGAGAGCCGATTGGCCGAGAGGAGCGGGCTCCGGGGCGCCTTGCCTGCCTCCCTTGCCGGCTGTTGCTCGGCTGCGGAGCCTCGGAGTCCCGGCTCGCTCTCCGCCCTGCTGCTCCGGCGAGCCGCGTTCTTGCGGGGAAGGCGCTTCGGGGCAGGCTCGCTCTCGCCCTCTCGGGCTTCCCGGCCGAGGCGCGCTCCCCACGCAGCCGCCGCCACGCTAACTTCCCAGAGGTCCGGGGTCTCCTGCGGAGCCAGGTAGGGCGGCGATCTTGCGGGAGAAGCCTCGGCGCGGAAGGGCAGGAGTCGCGAAACCGAGGCGCCCTTCGTGGCTGCCTCTTCCGCGGATTCCCTTTCTTGCCCGCCTTTGCTTCGAGGAGCTCGAGGCGGCACCCCGGCCCTCCTTTGCCCCTTGCAGCAACCCGGTGAGGCACCGTAGTGGTTGCCGGGCGAGAGCAGAGCCCGTCTCGCTCCCGCGATGCCCCTGGGCCAGGCGCTGCCTCTCCGGAAAGGTTTCTCGTGAAGACAAACTGGGGGGGGGGGGGGAGCCATGTCCGTCAGCCCCTCGGAGCAGGACAGCCATGTAACAAACACAAATGAAGAGCAAGTCAAGCTCCCTGCCCCAGAGAGATTGCAGTCCAGTAATCCAAAGCCAGCAGTGTAGGAGGGGAGAGCAGAGGGACATAGCTCAGTGGGTAGAGCATGAGACTCTTAATCTGAGGGTTTGGGGTTCAAGCACCACGTTGGGCAAAATATTCCTGCATTGCGGGGGGGGGGGGGTTCGACTAGATGAGCCTCAGGGTCCCTTCCAACTCTGCAGTTTTATGATGCATCTCTGACAATGACTCCCGTAAAAGCCTCAAGCAACTCACTTCATCTTCTCAGGGGACACATTTCGCCAAGCCGCATGGTTTTCCCCTTTAGAGTAAAGGCCAAAGGCACCTCCAGGCAGCAGGACTTTTCTCCTCTGCTGAATGGGGTTGGGGGGGAAATGTTTGCTCTGGAGAATTAATGGATCTCGGGGTGGGAAATGCTGTAGGAGTTGACACACTGCTGCAGCACAGAGCTCCCCCCTCAAAAACAAACCCATATATTGTAGGACAGGCAGCAGGAACCTGGTCCAAACAATGAGACCAGATAGGCAGGACACAGATCCTGTCAACCGATTCCTCCTTACTTTGGAATCTACTTAATGAAGGCAATTGGACCTGTCAGACTGAATTTCACTGTCCCGAAGGGGATGACCTTCCTTCACTCCCACAGCTCCGCCAAACATGGGGAAACCACCAAGAACTTCAGCTTGGTTCTTGCAAACAAGGAGCAGATGATGTTGCAAGAATAATAAAGCAGAGGGCTTAGGGAAAAGAAAAAGTGTGGGGATGGGGGGCACCGAGGCCACACGGATGGAGCCTGCTGGTGCTTGCCTGGCTTTGTGAGCCGGTCTGTGTTTCAGATGGGTTTTTGGTATATGCAGATTCAAGTGATTGTATGTGCATGCACAAGTCTGGGGCTCTAGACAAGGTGTCGGAGAGCATGAGTACACACCACTTGCATGCATAGGCAAAATGTGTGTCGCAGTGAAAATGTGAAGTCAACTTATTCCATGCACAGTCAGATGAGTGTGCATTACATGCTGGCTTAAGTGTTTTATAACTATCCACCTGAGTACTTGTGGGCACAGATTTTAGAAGTAGGGAAGAGGTTTAGAGGCAGCACAAACAGCAATAAGTCCCAAGTTTAATTCCTGACATCTCCAGGGAGGACTAGGAAATATCTCTGTCTGAAAACCCAGAGAGCTGCTGCCCATTGGATCAGTGATGTGATTTGGTGTAAGGCAGATTCTTGTGTTCCTCCGTAGAGCCAGTGTGGTGTTGGAGTGTTGGACTAGGATTAAAAAAACCTGGGTTCAAATCTCCAGTCAGTCTCATTCAGCTGCGCTTACCTCACAGGGTTGTTGTAAAGTGAAAAGGCATGTGTGTGGGGTGAGTAGAATATAAGAAACTTGGAATATAAATATAAAAAATAAAGCAAGGGTTTATGTGTAGGGAAGATGTGATTTTAAAAGGGCATTTTGAATTAAGGCATATGTAGAATAATTAGGATCTTATTTATTCAGATTTTTCGATCTGCCTTATTAAAAAAACTCAAGCTTAGTATTTCAACATTTAGGTCAGAAGGAACTTGTATGTACAGTGGTACCTCTGGTTGCAAATGGGATCCGTTCTGGAGGCTCGTTCGCAACATGAAAAGCCCGCAACCTGAAACGCCATATCGGTGCAGGTGTGTGGTGCAATTTGGTGCCTGTGCGCATGCGCTTGTGTGCATGCGCAAGTGGTGAAACCCGGAAGTAACCCTTTCCGGTACTTCCGGGTCGCTGCGGGACGCAACCTGAAAAAACGTAACATGAAGCAAACGTAACATGAGGTATGACTGTATTCTTAAATGATTTTATTTCTTTAAGTGGATACAATAATGCTAATTAAGATCTTATGTCACTCTGATGTGTGTGCCTAGCTGTAACAGTACACATGAAATGGTATTGTGGGGACATGCAGGGTTGCGCATGACTTGCACATAATTATGGGAATTCATAAGTGTGCAGAACTATGAGGAAGTTACGTGATCAACCAAGAGAGAAAGTGTCTGCTTGAGACTGTGAAATATGTGTGCCGACATATTTGCAAGTGCGTTATCATGAGTGGGTGTGAAAGTATGGACATTTACATTAGCATAAGCAGGGCTGCTTATGTGCATGACTTTGCTCGGGGAGTATTGGATGGGCGTGCAAGGTTCTTAATGGGTACGTGGACATTATTTGGATGTAGGGCATTCAAGTACACATTGAATATGGGCACAAAGCTATTGCTGCAGGCAGTGCAAGATTCCACGGGTTCCATCACTCATCTAGGGTTTGTGTTTCCTTTGGGAAATGAGGCACAGCAGAGACTGTGGTGTCTTTATGATATATGGTTCTGTTACACATATATACAAACCTATATGGAGAGAGTACATCCCCAAAAGGGCTTATTTCTTCCATACTCAGCCTTGGATTCTAACATAAATCAAACATTGTGCTCTGCCTCTCTGACTTTACAGAGAAGCTCAACTGCAACTCTGGCTTTGTCCTTCTAACTATCTAAGAGCTGGAGGAGGGGCCCAACTCAGTTGTCATCTGGCACAGGGTCCCCTCTCCTTTGCTCTCTTAATGGCACTTTGCCTTTCTGTTGCTCTCCCATAATGGCCCAGGCAATTACCTTTGTTCTTCTGTAATGGCCCATCACTCAGGCAAAAACACAGAAAACTAGCCTGGCTGATATTTTAACCCTTGCTGGGTCCAGGGGCTCAGGATCAGTCTGGCACCCACAAACTCATTACCCTGTATTTCATAATATGGGGTATGGGTGTGTGAATCTGAGTGTGCAGAGGGGTATTTGCAGAGCCAGCATGGGAATGTAGGTCACCATCCGAGGGCCAGAGTAGATGTGACATTTGTCATAAGATCTTAAGAACAGCCCTGCTGGATCAGGCCAAAGGCACATCTCGCCCAACAGCCTGCTCTTTGAGGAGTCAGGGAATACCGGGTGGGGGGCCCTCCAGCGTGCTTCTTTCCTGCTCACAGGCTTCCTATAAGCACCTGACGCCCAGTGGTGTAAGTAGCACACAACCATGATATCTGGTAGCCACTTGGTACATCGCTTGAGCTTGCGCAGCTGATTTTTGTTTAACAAGTAGTTGGTGTAGAGGGACCCCCACAAGATGGATTGGGACCAGGGCGTGGGGAGTCTAAACCTTTGCCCCTGCTGTGGTCCCAGCGGGAACCAAGGCCTCCTCAGTGTTTATTTGCAGTGGGAGGGAAGCTGCAGTCAGGGCTGGCAGGAGTTTTCCTTACAGTGTGAATAGAAAAGGAGCTGAATCTAACTGGCACCAGGGCGGAGTAAAGAGTTAAAGTTGTTGCATCACATTCCCAGTCTGACCTGCCTCCAGCGCTGGCTAATTTTTAAACAAAAATCATATAGGCAAGGCCTAATGGTGTGAAAAAATTATAATTTGGCTCTGAGATCTGTGTGGGTTGGTATAATTATCCTAGTAATTTTTTTGGGGGGGGGGGGAGAGTTTTGTGCCTATGCCTTTTAACTCTGATACATAAGCAGATATATTTTTTCACAACAATAGGCCCTCAGATGGTGGCCTAAAAGACATCCAGGTCCTTTTGAGGAATCATCACACAGAACCTGAAACATACCCCCCACTCACTATTTTTTTTAATTTTATTTCTTTTAAGCTGATTCTAATATTATATTTTAAATTGCTGTAACCCTTCATGGGACCTTTGGGTGAAGGATGTGTAAGAAACTGAACAACAACTACTACAATAATAGTGCATACTAAGTTTCAGCTTAGGAAGGAAACAGGAAGTGGGCAGAGAGAAGTTTTTCTTTGTGTCTCATAAAACTAAAGCCCAAGGCTGTCCAAGGAAGCTGAATAGTTGGAGAATAGTGGGACAGATGAGGGTGATTTCTTTCTTTCTTGGATTAATACCTCACTTTTCCTCCCAAGGGGCTCAAGGGGGCCTAAATGGCTCTTCCTCCTCCCCATTTCATCCTCACAACAACCCTGTGAGGGAGTTTCGGGTTGAGACGCAGCGAGTGGCCTGGAGTCACACAGGGAGCTTCGTGGCTGAGTGATTATTTAAACCCTGTTTTCAACACTCGAACCCACTGGGTGTCAAAGGGTCTGGCAGGAGAGGATGGCAAATGTGGCGGGAAAATTCAAGGACAGAAACATTTAAACATTTCAGTGTAGAATAGGGGAGTAGAGTATCACAATATTTATTTTTATTTTCAGAATATGGATAGATATATTTTCAAATCCCCTTTTAAAGCAGGGGGAGGTGATGGGCACCAAATTTAGTGACTTTAAAGGGGAATTAGACAAATCTATGAAATGTAAGATTACCAGTGGCTGCTTGCCACAACGGCTGTGTACTATGTCCAGTGCAGGCAGACCCCCCTTTTACACAGGTGTAAAAGGCACCGTACATGTCGGTGAAATCATATATAATTGAAACCCAGTGAAAATTAGCCTGCAAATACTGTTTGGCACTGCCCATGCCCCACCCTTTGGGTGATGCTTCAGTGATGTGTTTATGACGTTCCTGGGTCACTTCTGGGTTTGGCGCGTTGTGTGTGTACACAGTTGCACACATATTGAACAAGGGACCACTGTACTGAAGGCAGTGGGCCTCTGGATAGCTGTGCTGGGACTCACAAGTGGAGAAGTTCTTCACAGTGACCCAGGTTCAAATCCCTAATCATTTCCCCAGGACACTGTGTGGTCTTTAAATGTGAGGTAAGAACGCTCAAGTTCCACTTTCTGCACTGAAACAAGACATAAGCATGCAGCCAGTTGTGAGGTGGTCTCTGCGAGATTTGGAGTGTGCACCTAGACATATGTCCATCTCTCATAAGAAGCTGCCTTGCGCAAAGTCAGGGCATTGGCCACCCTGCTCAGGACAGAATTGTCCATGCCAGGCATGTAGAACCTCGCGTCTCCTCCCAAGGCCAGCCTCTACCCAGCTGTGCTCTGCGCTCCCCAAGTGATTTTTGCTTGGCTGGACTGTATCCTGGAGCTGCTAAGCATGCCATTTGCCTGCCTCTATGGAGGACCGACAGATTGGATGCTTAGAGGCCTCTGACGTTTGTGTGACTGGAATGGGTACATTGCGCAAAGGAAGAGGCACATCCATTGGTCCACACACATTTGCCTCTGGCATGCAGCCCCTTAAAGTTGCACACAAGGGGATGTGGCTCTCAGGCCAAAGAAGAGGGATTTACTTCCACATATTGCATTTAAGATTGGAGAATTTTAGCAATCAGCAGCTTCCCCAAACCTGACTACAGCCAGCCATAGACCAAATTATCTGGGGGGTGCCAGGCTGGGGAAAGGCTGGCATCTTTCTGGAAGGGAGCGAACCTGGTAGCCTCCATGGTAGAAGCTGGGGGAGATTCAGGTGTCTTTGCATGTGCATCTGAGAAAGAACCTGGCGGAAATGTGCATGTATGGTTTTGAGTCGTTATCTGCAGGGATGTGAAGGAGTTGGATTGCTGTGAGTGGGTGCATATCCACGTGGCTGTGCCTGCAAACATGTGAGTGGAGGAGAAGCATGAGGCCGTGTGAGCTTGCCTGGGGGGTTGCATACTGAGCCTTTTTGTTGCTGCTGTTTCCTGACAGGAACATTTTGACCTGACCGTCATCCTGGCTCAGGTGATTGCTTTCCTGTAGATGGGTGGTCCATATTAATGGAAAGGCCCTTTGGTGGCAGTCAGGCCCCCACCTCTTTGGCCTCTTCCTCTGACTCCTCTGCTTCAGCTCTGCAAACGGGAGAGGGAGCTTTTTCTTGGGGAGGCTGTGCAGGCACGTTTAAAGGGAAGGTCTGGAATGTCAGAAGGGCGGTGCTGTGGGAAACACTCCAGGGACATGAGTGGGGGAACCAAGGAGTTCTGGCTTTGCTTCCTACGGCTTGCTTCAGAGACCTCCCCTTCAACTCTCCTCTCTGTGCAAGTCCTTGCTTAGCCAGGACTGCAAAATGTCTTTTATTCCATGTGACCCGCCCGCCAAAACTCCCACACCCCGTTCTGCTGTTCTTTATCTTGGCATGTTGACTGGGATTACAAGCAAGGCATGTTATGCTCTTCCTCTGAAAGGGATGTCTCATTTCTTGTTTTTCGAGGCATTTAAAAAAATAACTGAAGCAACAGTGAATGAAACGGCATGAATTCAACAGTTAGGGAGATGCGCTTGCCGGCCTAGGTGAGTCTGTATGCAAGAAGGGGTTTGGATTAGCTTGGCTACGGGGAAAGGCTCAAGCGCCTGAAGGTTTTTTTTATGACAGAGGTTTTTTTAATTTCAAAGTATGCAGAGAGAGTGACACTCCCCCCCCATTCGTTTCTCATAACATCTCCATTGGAGCTTATTGCTGCTGGTGCTGCTGTAGTGACATTTGTATTTTGCCTTTCCTCCAAGGACTTCAAGGTGGCCTGCATGCCGCTGCTTGCGCTCTGTTTTATCCTCACAACCACCTGGTGAAGTAGGCTAGGCGGAGAGGCAGTGACTGGCCTAAGGTCACCCAGTGAGCTTCATGGCTTAGAGTACAGCAAAAGCAAGAGCTTCTGGAAACAGTGCGCAATTAACTCAGTGGAACAAGGTGTGGGCAATAGCCTGTAAATTAGATGGCTTTGAAGAGGATTAAGTAAATCTTGTCAACACCTGCAGTAGAACCTCCAGGTTAACAGGCAATATATCTCTGAATATCAGGCACTGGGGGCAAATGAGTTTGTCAGTTCCCCAGAGACCTCTGGCTGAATGCTTTTAGATGCAGGTTAGTGGAGCAGCTAGACCTGTAGTTAGAACTAGTTGGGCAGTTCTTATGCCCTGAGACTATTTAATTATGGAACTGGTGTTCAAAAGTCTGGATAGCTGTCCATGCAGCTAATTAAGCATCATCCCTTGCTGTTGTTCATCCCATTTGCAGACATGCACACTTTATTTCTCTCTCATACACGTGCTTTTAGAGACAAAACAGCATTTTTGCAAACACCCACATATTCTGGCATGCAGGAGAAGCTATCTTCTGGAGTGATGTCCAGGTTATGGAATTCCCTTCGCTTGGAGGCCTGATTGGTCTGCTCCTTATTGACATGTATGGACAGTTAAGAACTCTTGGTTCCATTTAGGGGTGTCAGAGAATTCTGAGGGAAATGGGAACAGAAATTGCCAATGTTTGCTTATGCATCCAATGCCCAGAATGATAATCAATCCCATCCCTCCAGCCCCCCTAATTTGCCTGGGTGAGATAATATCATGCCAATGTGGTTTGAGTAACATGTAATTAATTACGTAATTTACGTTAGTTATGCAATTTTGCCACAGTGGATGGCAAGACTAAGAATGTTGGTTTTGGAGATGAACGGCAGCAGAACGGAAAGAGTGCTGCAGGTGGCAAACGCAGGACACAATGGAAACTGATTCCTTCGTACATCCCTAGTTCCACTGCACCTTCAGTTATCTCTGCCCCAAATAACTGTATGATCCATGGGCTAGATTTAACTATAATCCAGTGTGCTACGGAAACCAGCACTCCCCCCTCCCCAGTGCAATGGGGATTTCTCCCTCTACAAAGCAGATGCTCCAGCACTGAACAATGGTAACCTCCTGTTCAAGGCAGAGGACAAACAATATTTCATGAGATTTCATGAGACTCTATTCTGTCTTTGTCAGGCCACACCTGGAATACTGTGTCCAGTTTTAGGCACTGCAATTTATGAAGGGGATTGACAAAGTGGAAGGTGTGCAAAGGAAAAGATGCAAAGGAAAAGGTGTGGAAAAGGTTGAGAGAGTTGGGTATGCTTAGAGGAGATGGCGTGAAGATATGATAGCCATCTTCGAATACATCAGATTGATGAGGTAGCAAGCTTGTTTTCTCTTGCTTTGGAGGCTAGGACTCAAACCAATGGATTCAAGTTACAAGCAAGGAGATTCTGACTAAACATCAGGAAGAACTTTCTGACAGTAATTGGTGTTTGACAGTGAAATGGTCTTCCTCAGGAAGTGGTGGACTCTCCTTCCTTGGAGTTTTTTAAGCAGAGGGTGGATGGCCACCTGTCATGGACGCTTTCACTGTGATTCCTGCATTGCAGGGGGTTGAACTAGATGACCCCTAGGGATCCCTTCCAACTTTGTTATTCTACAATTCCTAACAGATGGCTCTCCAGCCTCCTATTGGAATCCTTCCTGGAAGGAGATTATTATGCAACCTCCCTATAATGCATCTTTCAAAAGAGAGAGAAGAGCTCTTCGCTCTTGCCAATCGCTCACGCTTTGCTAAGCAACTCTTTCCCATATCCAGAATCTCTCCCAGGTTACCAGGAGCATTTTACACCCACATGCTTCCCCAGCCATGTGCTGCTTTCTGCTGCCTGAGTCAGGCCGGAATCTGATGCATCCATTGCGCACGAGTCGCAGCCGCCTTCCTGCCACTGTCTTCCTTGGATCTGGGAGTGCTTTAGGGCAGGATCTTGGTCAGCTTGGAATTTGGGAGAGGCATGCTGCCAGGATTCCTCACCTGCTCACAGTCGAGCTGCTGGGTTGCATCCTCCCTCCCCTCTTTCTAAAGGGCAGAATTCAATCTCAAACTACTCTTGTACCACTCACAAGTAGGAGTGGAAGAATCCCTCTGTTTTTTGGTCCATATAGCTTTTGCATATATTCATTCACAAGTCTGTTTTTGCCCATTTCTGTGGTGTATTTTTAATTTGCACAAAAATTCACATTTCAGTATGTATTTTTAATGGCTTTTCTCTCAAAATAAGCATTTTGATATATTTCATGAGCTGAGAACTGTGCTAGAGCATTTGGAACAGGCAGCAGCTGGTGGGTAACCAAGTTCCACATTAGTCCAGGAGGTGCTGATCTGGTTACCGTATTTTTCACTCTATAGGACGCACCGGACCATAGGACGCACCTTGTTTTAGAGGAGGAGAACCAGAAAAAAAAATTCTCCCCCTCTCTGCTCAGCGCCCCTTCAGCGAAGCGGCAGGAGAAACAGAGCCCCTTCTATTTCTCCTCCTGCTTGGCTGAAGGGGCGCTGCACAGCTCTCCCTCTCTGCTGAAGCCAGGAGAGTCTTGCTCTCCTGGCTTCAGCAAAAGGAACCTGAAGCCTGCCGAGTGCAGCGGGAACTTACGCTGTGCTCCGAAGACTTCAGGTGGCTATCCCTGAAGCCTGGAGAGCGAGAGGGGTCGGTGCGCACCGACCCCTCTCGCTCTCCGGGCTTCAGCAAAAGCAATGCGAAGCCTCCAGAGCGCGGAGGGAGCGCTCCCTCTGCGCTTCAGAGGCTTCACGTTGCTATCGCTGAAGCCAAAGAGCCTGCATTTACTCCATAGGATGCACACACATTTCCCCTTAATTTTTGGAGGGGGAAAAGTGCGTCTTATAGAGCAAAAAATACGGTAGTTCATATCAGAATTTACAAAGCTCAAACTTCTTGGGAATCCCTGATTACTCTATGGCAGGATTCCCAGGTAGCACCCCCAACCCCCCCCCCCCAAATTGATTCATATATAACTGAAGAGTTGGAAGGAACCACGAGGGTCATCTAGGCAAGTCCCCTGCAATGCAGGAATCTTTTTGCCCAACGTGGGGTTCAAACCCATGACCCTGAGATTTAGTCTCGCTTGCTGTACCGACTGAGCTATGCAGTTGGCCATTCTACACTGACAGGCAACAGTTCTCCAGGGTTTCACGTGGGGAATCTCTCTCAGCCCTACCTGGAGATTCCAGGATGGAGTCCAGGACCTCCTGCACAGCATATGCGCTATGGCCATTGAGCTACAACTACGGAGACAATGTTTGTATTTGGGACCAAGTGGCTCTCGCACAGGAACCAGGTCACCCCTGAGAAGAGGCTGTTACACTCTCATTGAGGGGACTCTCCGCAGGGCATTGTTTGCCAGCCTTAAAGGACGAGGGCTGAGCAACACCTGACCCATTCCAAGTCAGACCATTGGGCCATCCTGCTTGGCCTGATCCAGACTGATTGGCAGTGGTTCTCCAGGATCTTCAGGGAGGCAGAACTCTCTCAGCCCCACCTGGAGGCGGAATCTGGAGCCTTCAGCCTGAGAAGCAGTTGTTCCAGTGCTGAGCAATGGCCGAAAGAGATCACTCAAGAACAGGGTCCTTCATCAGCCACATTCTTTATTGTCAAAGCCATTAGAACATAGCAAAACTTCGTATGACAGAAAATTGTTCCAGTGCAGCAAAATTGTTATCTCCATAGCAATGGGTTTGCCTCCATGAAAAAATCGCCTTTGTTTTTCTACACTTTTAGTATTTGATCTTAGAAAAGGGTATTCTTACAGGTTGACTTGCCCTGTAGTACGCAGCATGGCTCACTTATGCAAGTCATCTAGAGTGACCTGCTGTGCTGGCTCCATTCTGCAGTTTACCCAAATGGCAATCTGCATTGTGCCATACGGGATTTGTTTTGTCCAGGCTTGCTGTAGCTGAAAAGAAATTATTTTAATTTTGAAGTACAATGGTATCTCGGTTTTCGAACATAATCTGTTCTGGAAGACTGTTTGAGATCTGAAATGTTCAAAAACTGAGGCGCAAAGAGTGGTCTGCAAATTTAATAGAGAAAATTGAGAAAAATAACATATACACTCAGTGGAAGCCGTTCAACTTCTTTTTTTTAATATAATTTTTATTGGTTTTCCAGTTTTTACAATTTTTGACATCCTAAAAAAAGAACATTTTATCCCTTGCTCTGCCGAGCTTTTGACTTCCCTCCCTCCATCTTCTGGTTTTTTATATCACATTTATATTTCCCCACATTTTTTACATTTCGATCCTGATTCTACCTTATATTATTAAACACTTTAATCACACATAGAATGTCTCTTATTACAAACGTTGTGAGATTTATCTCAGTCCTGCCAAGTGTCTTTATATGTTCTCTCTATATAATATAACTTTACTCCATTCTCTCTGGAACGCTTGGTCGCCCTGGTTCCAGATTCTCCGGGTCAGCTTTGCCAGTTCCGCATAATCCATCATCTTCGCCTGCCATTCTTCCACAGTTGGTAACTCCTGCTGTTTCCATTTTTGGACTAATAAAATTCCAGCAGCGGTTGTTGCATACATAAACAAATTTTTATCAGCTCTTGATATTTCCCCTCCTACCATTCCTAACAGAAACACCTCCAGTCTCTTTGGGAGTGTGTACCTAAGCATCCTTTTTAAGTCATTATAAATACTATCCCAGAATAGTTTAACTTTGTCACACATCCACCACATATGATAAAAATCTCTATCTTTAACCTTGCATTTCCAGCATTGCTTATTGCTTGTTTTATACGTTTTTGCTAGTTTAGTAGGGGTCAAATACCATCTATACATCATTTTCATTATATTTTCTTTCAATGTCATGCATGCAGTAAATTTCATACCCTTATTCCATAGCCTTGCCCATTTGTCAAAATCAATATTATGCCCAATGCCAATTGCCCATTTTATCATTACCTCCTTAATTTCCTCATCTACATCATTAATTTGATGATATTGTAGCCAACATGTTAACATATCACATATTTCATCATATGATTTCAGTTTTAACACTTTATCCCTTTCCCTTATCAACTCCCTATATGTAGGCCAATTACCTTTCATATTTAACCTCTTGACTGAAATTGCCTCTGCTGGCGAAATCCACCATGGTGTTTTACGTTCTAGTAATTCTTTGTATTTAATCCAGACTTCATACAGTGGTTTTCTTATTGCATGATTCAGGAAGCCTCTGTGAACTTTAAATTTATCACAAATATGCGTGCCACCCATATCTATTTTCATAACCTTCTAAATCTAATATGTCTGTATTTTCTAATTTCATCCAATCCCTTAACCATGTCAAGCATGATGCTTCAAAATATATCTTTAACTCTGGCAGCGAGAATCCGCCTCTTTCTTTTTTATCTGTAAAAGTTTATATTTTATTCTAGGTTTCTTCCCCTACCAGATAAAGCTTGACAATGCTTTTTGCCAATCTTTGAACTGTCTTGTTCTACTAATCACCGGGATTGTCTGAAATAGAAATAACATTTTGGGTAGTACATTCATCTTTATCACAGAGATTCTTCCCCAAAATGACAATTTCTCTTCCAACTTCTGTTCAACTTCTGAGGTGTGTTCGAAAACTGAAGCATTTACTTCCAGGTTCACAGTGTTTGAGTTCCGAAACGTTTGTCAATGGAGATGTTCAAAAACAGAGGTACCACTGCATATGCTCTCTGAGAGCATATTGTTGTTTTTGGAGACCTGATATACTTTAAATTTGTAAGTATCAGAGCAGCAACAGCAACAACAACTGAGAAAGAACTGAAGTGAAATAACTGGAAATAAGCCGAGCATTTACCCTTTAATCTAAAAACCTGTAACATCTACCTGAAGTGAAGTAACTGAACATAAGGAACTGAAGTTTAAAAGAAGCTGTGCTTGATTAGAAGTCCATAATATCAGTTAGATTTAGTATAAATATTATTAGGTGAACTGTTACCTGCAATAACATTATAATCTGAAGTATCCTTTGTTTGATCCACTTTGTGTCATAAACTTCCTTTGTGTAATAAAATCTTTCTTGTTTATTTGACCAAATCCTGCCTGAGACTCCAAATCATTAAGTTTTCCCTCACACAAGTCCGCCAGTCGATAATCTGGGGCAGTTTGTAGAATTTCATGTAACTGGTGTACCGTGAGGTGGTCTCACTATATCTAAGTGAGGGCCAGCCCAACGGCACCAGGGTGGGAAAGGGCTCTTGTGCCGTCGCAGCCGCACCTCCAGGAAGCAGGCCTGGTTCCCTTGAGCCAGTGCGATGGGAACCAAGTGTAAGAGCTGCACTGGGCAGACCTTGGCTCAGATCCCAGAGGCCCCCGGAGGCCGAAGGGGCTGCTGCTTGGCCAGGGCCTCCCCAGACCTGGAGCTGCCCCAGGCAGCTAGCTGAGTTCTGCTGCTCGGCCCATGGAAGAACCAGATGGTGTCCTCCATCTGCTGTGAACGAAAGCCTCCATCAACCCTCATTCTTGGTCATAGTGGATGGAGCTGCTGTGAGTTGTACTTCTGTTCCCCTCTCACTTCATGTGGGCTACCCCTGCTGTATCCTTTCAGCAGGGGCGAAACTAGGCTTTATTTCACCCGGGTCAAAGACCCAGATTGGCACCCCCAAGGCACATATGCAAACACACACATATAGGCTGGGAGCCTCAATGGCGCCCCCGGAGGCTTCACCTGGGGCAAAAACCCTGGTTCAACGCCCTCCTGCCCCCGGCACTGCTTTCAGCTCTACTGCCTCTGAACAGGTGCCCACTTCATCGCTCTAGCTCTTTCCCAGATCCCTTGGGGCTGCCTTCCTCTGCAATGGATGGAGCTGTATCTTTGCCATGGAAACAGAACAGGGAGTCCTGCTGTGTCACCATCCCTCAGGTTTTTGCCCTCTCAGAGCCTCCGCTTTGGCACAGCTTCCAGATGCCTCCTCCCAGAATTGTGGTGGGGCTAAATTGAGATAACCCCCATGTTTGCCATTCCAAGCTCCTTTGGAGGATGGGCAGGATGAAAAACCTCTGACTGCTACTTTTATGTAACTGGAAGAAAACTAAACAGCAGGATAAGCAAGGGTGGTGTGGTGGGGGATCAAAATATTAATCAAGATGACAATTTCTGCCTCTCTAAAATGGGATAATAAAGGCGACTTACTTTTGAGTAGACATAGATAGGATCTTGCTGAAAGAGAACCTCAGTCAGGCAGTAAACAGTCAGGATCTTTGTAATAAGAACTTTATTTGAACCTGTCCTTCTGCGCTTCACCCCTGAAGCTGATTAAATGCTGCAGTTCAACCCTGAAGAATGATGGGCTCCCTGAGCAAGCCAAGAGTGCTTTTTCCTTCACCACTAACTACGCCTAGCCTCCAAACATCCAGGCTCATGACAGCAGTGCCTCTTATTCTGAAATTCAGTGCTAGAAATGTGTCGATTTTTTTTTACTATTGCACCATGAGTAATTGTTGTTGTTTAGTCGTCTTAGTCGTGTTCGACTCTCTGTGACCCCATGAACCAGAGCATGCCTTGGAAACGCTCACTTTCTTCTCAAAGCTTCTCCTTTTTTATGTCTGTGGAGTTTTCTTGGCAAAATACTGGAGTGGTTTGCCAGTTCCTTCTGGCTCTGTTCTGACTGGCATCAGTTTTCCAGGGTTTTGGCATTTCTCTTCCCTACCTGGAAATGCCAGGAATTGAACCTGGGACATTTTAATGCAAACCTGTCTTCTACCACTATAGCTACAAACCCTAAACAGAGTACATGGTAAAAATATAGCTTAAAATACATTTAGTTTGGGGTCTGCCTTGTTGCAAGTGAAGATACGGAGTATTTTAATGGTATTCTGTTTTTGACATCTTAAACAAAACAAAACAAAACGAAAGAGATGTTTCTGAACAAAAAGTAGTCCTAGTACCTTCTGCTTTTATATTCCTGGTTTTATTTATTTTAAGCCACCCATTTCCTGACAGCAAGAGCCACTTCAGGGACTGTTGCAGTCGGGAGACTGTGATTACGGGGCCGGCTGACAGGTCCTTTTGCTCTGTGCAATCAGTTCTTGCTGATAGCTGGTTTGTTCTCTCTCTTTCATTAGAGGAAGTGGAGCTCTTGACTTTTTGTTTCAAGCTGGGTCTGCGTGTGCGCAGATAAGTTTCATGCTGCTCCTCTTTGCAGCTCAACTCATAGCCGCTATCGAGAAGGTAGATTTGGTGCTATCAGATGGATTTATTAAGCCCACCAGAGGGTTCAGTTCTAATCAGCTAAATTCTGACAGGGAAAAAAGCAGGCGTGGGGGCTGCCAGGGAGACAGCTATAAATACAAGCAGTTTCTTCTCAGAGCACAAAAGGAGCCATCACGGGGAAAGGAGTTGGCAGGGAAGGGCTGTGATGCTGCCACGGAAGCAGGTGCTGCTCACGTAGGTGGAAAATGGGTAAAGTCAAAGGAGAAAAGAGGGAGTGAGAGAGGGGAAGCAGAAATACAGCTTATTTATTCCATAACATGGAGAAGGGAAATGTGTGGTGAATTTATTATTGGAAGTTATGAATACCAAACATACTATTTGATATAATAATAATAATAATAATAATAATAATTTATTATTTGTACCCCGCCCATCTGGCTGGGTTTTGCCCGCCACTCTGGGCGGCTTCCATATAAACCAAAAATACAGTAAAATATCACAGATTAAAAACTTCCCTGAACAGGGCTGCCTAAAGATGTCTTCTAAATGTCAGGTAGTTATTTATTGCTTTGACATCTGATGGGAGGGCGTTCCACAGGGCGGGCGCCACTACCGAGAAGGCCCTCTGCCTGGTTCCCTGTAGCTTTGCTTCTCGCAATGAGGGAACCGCCAGAAGGCCCTCGGCGCTGGACCTCAGCGTCCGGGCAGAACGATGGGGGTGGAGATGCTCCTTCAGGTATACTGGGCGGAGGCCGTTTAGGGCTTTAAAGGTCAACACCAGCACTTTGAATTGTGCTCGGAAACGTACTGGGAGCCAATGTAGGTCTTTCAAGACCGGTGTTATATGGTCTCGGTGGCCGCTCCCAGTCACCAGTCTGGCTGCTGCATTCTGGATTAGTTGTAGTTTCCGAGTCACCTTCAAAGGTAGCCCCACGTAGAGCGCATTGCAGTAGTCCAAGCGGGAGATAACTAGAGCATGCACCACTCTGGCGAGACAGTCCGCGGGCAGGTAGGGTCTCAGCCTGCGTACCAGGTGGAGTTGGTAGACAGTTGCCCTGGATACAGAATTGACCTGTGCCTCCATGGACAGCTGTGAGTCCAAAATGACAAAATGATATGTATATTATGAGTATTAGTATTTATTTTGTAGATTTATAAACTTCTTAATGGCTAAAAACTACTGAAGTGGTGTATGATAAAATAAAATGAGACAGAAATACCAAAGATAAACTCTTAATAAACAGTAAACTCATCTCTATGATGGTACAGTTCTTATTCCATAAAATGACTCAGCCACACTTCAGGAAAGGCCTTATTAAGCAAAAACATATTTAGTAGCTGCCTAAATATCAGGATCCCCTTCATGGATCACTGCCTTGCTGTGGCGAAGGGGCGTGAATAACTCAGAGAAGCTATGAACTATGCCGAGCAGGGCACCCAAGATGAACAGGTCATAGTGGAGAGTTTTGACCAAACGTGATCCACCTGGAGTAGGAACCGGCAAGCCACTCCAGTATCCCTGCCAAGAAAACTCCATGGACAAAGACAACAGGCATATAAAAGTTATGACGCTGGAAGATGAGCCCCTCAGGTCGGAAGGTGTCCAACATGCTACTGGGGAAGAGCGGAGGACAAGTACAAGTAGATTCAGAGCTGATGAAGCGGCTGGGCCAAAGCCGAAAGGACGCTTAATTGTGGATATGCATGGAAGCGAAAGGAAAGTCCAATGCTGTAAAGAAAAATATTGCATAGGAACCTGGAATGTAAGAACCATGAACCTGGGTAAGTTGGATGTGGTCAAAAATGAGATGGCAAGAATAAAGATCGACATCCTGGGCATCAGTGAGCTAAAATGGACGGGAATGGGCGTATTCAGTTCGGATGACTATCATATCTACTACTGTGGGCAAGAAACCCGTAAAAGAAATGGAGTGGCCCTCATAGTCAACAAAAGAGTGGCGAAAGCTGTACTGGGATGCAGTCTCAAAAATGATAGAATGATCTCGATATGAATCCAAGGCAGACCTTTTAACATCACAGTAATCCAAGTTTATGCACCAACTACTGGTGCTGAAGAAACTGAAATTGACCAATTCTATGAAGACTTACAAGACCTTATAGAAGTGACACCAAAGAAGGATGTTCTTCTCATTATAGGGGATTGGAATGCTAAAGTAGGGAATCAAGAGATAAAAGGAACAACTGGCAAGTTTGGCCTTGGAGATCAAAACGAAGCAGGGCAAAGGCTAATAGAGTTCTGTCAAGAGAACAAGCTGGTCATCACAAACACGCTTTTCCAACAACACAAGAGATGACTCTACACATGGACATCACCAGATGGGCAACATCGAAATCAGACTGATTATATTCTCTGCAGCCAAAGATGGAGAAGCTCTATACAGTCAGCAAAAACAAGACCTGGAGCTGACTGTGGCTCAGATCATCAGCTTCTTATAGCAAAATTCAAGCTTAAACTGAAGAAAGTAGGAAAACCACTGGACAGGTAAGATACAATCTAAACCAAATCCCTTATGAATACACAGTGGAAGTGAGGAACAGGTTTAAGGATTTAAATTTGCTGGACAGAGTGCCTGAAGAACTATGGGTGGAGGCTCGCAACATTATACAGGAGGCAGCAACTAAAACCATCCCAATGAAAAAGAAATGCAAGAAAGCAAAGTGGCTGTCCAACGAGGCCTTACAAATAGCTGGGGAGAGAAGGCAAGCATAATGCGAGGGAGATAGTGAAAGATACAGGAAATTGAATGCAGATTTCCAAAGAATAGCAAGGAGAGACAAGAAGGCCTTCTTAAACGAGCAATGCAAAGAAATAGAGGAAAACAACAGAATGGGAAGAACCAGAGATCTGTTCAAGGAAATCGGAAATATGAAAGGAACATTTTGTACAAAGATTACCATAATAAAGGACAAAAGTGGTAAGGACCTAACAGAAGCAGAAGACATCAAGAAGAGGTGGCAAGAATACACAGAGGAATTATACCAGAAAGATATGGATGTCTCGTACACCCCAGGTAGTGTGGTTGCTGACCTTGAGCCAGACATCCTGGAGAGTGAAGTCAAATGGGCCTTAGAAAGCACTGCTAATAACAAGGCCAGTGGAAGTGATGGTATTCCAGCTGAACTGTTTAAAATTTTAAAAGATGATGCTGTTAAGGTGCTACACTCAATATGCCAGCAAGTTTGGAAAACTCAGCAGTGGCCAGAGGATTGGAGAAGATCAGTCTACATCCCAATCCCAAAGAAAGGCAGTGCCAAAGAATGCTCCAACTACCGCACAATTGCACTCATTTCACATGCTAGCAAGGTTATGCTTAAAATTCTACAAGGAAGGCTCAAGCAGTATGTGGACCAAGAACTCCCAGAAGTGCAAGCTGGATTTAGAAGAGGCAGAGGAACCAGAGACCAAATTGCAAACATGCGCTGGATTATGGAGAAAGCTAGAGAGTTCCAGAAAGACATCTACTTCTGCTTCATTGACTATGCAAAAGCCTTTGACTGTGTCGACCACAGCAAACTATGGCAAGTTCTTAAAGAAATGGGAGTGTCTGATCACCTCATCTGTCTCCTGAGAAATCTCTATGTGGGACAAGAAGCTACAGTTAGAACTGGATATGGAACAACTGATTGGTTCAAAATTGGGAAAGGAGTACGGCAAGGCTGTATATTGTCTCCCTGCTTATTTAACTTATATGCAGAATTCATCATGCGAAAGGCTGGGCTGGATGAATCCCAAGCCGGAATTAAGATTGCCGGAAGAAATATCAACAACCTCAGATATGCAGATGACACAACCTTGATGGCAGAGAGTGAAGAGGAATTAAAGAACCTTTTAATGAGGGTGAAAGAGGAGAGTGCAAAATATGGTCTGAAGCTCAACATCAAAAAAACGAAGATCATGGCCACTGGGCCCATCACCTCCTGGCAAATAGAAGGGGAAGAAATGGAGGCAGTGAGAGATTTTACTTTCTTGGGCTCCATGATCACTGCAGATAGTGACAGCAGTCACGAAATTAAAAGACGCCTGCTCCTTGGGAGAAAGGCGATGGCAAACCTAGACAACATCTTAAAAAGCAGAGACATCACCTTGCCAACAAAGGTCGTATAGTAAAAGCCATGGTTTTCCCAGTAGTGATGTATGGAAGTGAGAGCTGGACCATAAAGAAGGCTGATCACCGAAGAATTGATGCTTTTGAATTATGGTGCTGGAGGAGACTCTTGAGAGTCCCATGGACTGCAAGAAGATCAAACGTATCCATTCTTAAGGAAATCAGCCCTGAGTGCTCACTGGAAGGCCAGATCGTGAAGCTGAGGCTCCAATACTTTGGCCACCTCATGAGAAGAGAAGACTCCCTGGAAAAGACCGTGATGTTGGGAAAGATGGAGGGCACAAGGAGAAGGGGACGACAGAGGACGAGATGGTTGGATGGTGTTCTTGAAGCTACCAGCATGAGTTTGATCAAACCACAATTCTGTGAGGTAGGTTAGGCTGAGAGACAGTGAGTGGTCCAAGGTCCCCCAGTGAACTTCATGGCTGGGGGGGGGGACTAGAATCTGGTCTTCCAGGTCCAGCACTCTAATCAGCACCACATTTGCCGCCTGAGGCAGTTCCCTGCCTTATGGTGCATATATGGAAAACACTATCAACATTCAAATAAATGGTAGGTATAAATGCTAGGTAAATGCTAGGTATGTATATATCATCATCATCATCATCATCATCATCATCACAACAACAATCATTTATTCAGTTAAAAGGGAAATGGTTAGGGATGGGCAAATACATCAGTTTCATTTTTTCATTTTTCCAATCTTAAATTCGGTTCTTCACATTTTCACATCAGATTGCAACTTTAAAAAAAAGTTCTTATGAAAAGTTAACAGCATTTTAGTACAAATTTGTCCTGATATACACATTTTTGTATACAGCTTTATACACACTTTTATAACACAGTTTCCCCTTAATATAATGCATTTTTCTACACCATTTTCACAAATATATGCATTATTATGAGAATTTGGTAGGTTCACCTTTAAATGTGAACTGAATTGAATTTCTCCTCCATCTCCATACCAATGATAAATGACCGTTAACATGATGCAAGAGCGGTCTACTCCCAAATCTCTGTTCTACCAGGAAGATTACTGGGTAGCTTCACAGGATTGTGGTAATGCTAACATGAGGTGTCACTGTGGATGGTTAGGAGACAAATGTGCAAAGTAGTAGGGCGAGAGGTGCCAAGGTGCCAGCTTGCCTGAAGTCACATCCTCTGACCCGAAAGTGTGTTTCCATGCTCTCACATTTCCAAAGGCTTATTGTAGTGATGCAACACAAGGCGTATGCCGTTTCTAATTCACGTGCTCTGGTGTTATTTGGCTGAAATTAGGCCTTTCACATGTCCCATTAATTCCTCTTGCTCATGGAGAAGCCAAGGATGGGACTCTAAGCCCTGTGTGACTGGACTCTAGAGAGTCATCAAGGAGCACAGCATCTTCAGAAATGATCTATGAAGAAAAACACTTTAGCTGTCTTCCCAGTAAACTCCTCTCCTCAACGAATCATGAGAATTCTCAGTCAGCAACCTCACAAAACCAAAGAGACTCCCATGATCCTTTGGGGAAAGCCAAACTGGTAAAAGCGATGCAAAGCACAAAAGTATTTGTAGTGTAGATAGAACCAAACAGCTCTACTGAGGTGTCTACCAGCAGCTTCCCCCCTTCAGCCTCAAACTCCTTGATTTTATTATTACATGATAACCTTCCTGAGAAGAGGCTGGCTGCTGGATCAGACCAAAGGCCTGTGTAGTCCAGCATCCTCTTCTCACAGTGGCCAACCAGATGCCTGAGGGAAGCCCACAAGCAGGGCCCGAGTGCGAAAACAGCCCTCTCCCCTCCGACAGCAGTGGTGGACATGGCCCTGAGAGCCTCATCCTCTATGAATTTGTCCAGTCCTCTTTTAAAGCCAGCCACACTGGGGACAAATTCCGTAGTTTAACTGCACCAGGTGAAGAAGTATTTTTTGTGTCTGCTCTGAGTTCTTTCTCAGAATCATGCATAATTTTATACACCTTCCTTATGCTCCCCACACTTACTAGCCCTTTTCCAAACTAGAAATTGCTCCCCGCCCTTGACTATTTTGGTTGCCCCTTTCTGGACCTTTCACAGCTCTATCATATCCTTTTTGAGATGAGGCTGCCAGAATTGTACACAGCATGCCAAGTGGGGTCTCTCCATAGATTTGTATAACACTAAATTTCCTCCAAGGAGCTCTAGGCAGTGCACACGATTTTGCCTGGCTCAGTGCTGTAAAGTAGATTAGACAGAGAGGCAGTGACAAATGCAAGGTCACCATGAGCTATTTAGCTGAGTGAGGATTTGAACCCTGGTTTGCCAGTTGCTAGGCCAACGCTCTAACCACTACACCACACTGACTCTCCATGAAGGTTTTTAGGTACTTGGCTCTGCTAGGAATGCAGTTCAAACCCTAGTCTACACCTACATAGTTAAACTGGAAGGGTGAAGAAAAGGGGCAAGGAAACTCACCCCAGGAAATGACTCATCCAGTGCCCCTCCCCCACTCAAAGGGGGTGGGCAGACTTGTCCTCTCTAGATAACGCCTCACCCTACCAAGTTGGTTCCTCTTGTTGATATACAGGATGCTTCTTTTTAAAGCCAGAGTAAACCAAACTGCATTTTGGAGACACATAGGCCAGCTGCCTCTGCCGTAACACATATGCTCTGTTATGATGACAAGGTCTTTGAAAGAGCTGGTCTGTTTTAATTTAGAACTGGCTTCACCAAACCAGATTCACATTTCCCTTTCTCCTATCCATACTCTATCCCAGACATTCTAATCTGGAATGGGAAGTGGTTTAGTCTGGATTAATTTTGCTAAGGAACTGTGAAGCCACACCAATGGGACTGGTGTAAGGTAGATGTTTACATTTCATTAGGGCCTCTTTAGGGACATAGGAAGTCGCCTTGTGCCAGGCCACCTCCGCACCATTCCTTTAAAGCAGCATCAGACCACTTTAAACATTCATAGCTTCCCAGTGCTGAAAAGGCTGTAAAGGGGACCAGCAAATTCATGGAGGGCAAATCTCACTCATGGCTGCTGCAGGTTTTGAAGGCCATATAGAGCCTCTAGATTCCACAGCAGGATGCCACCAGATGCTGGTGGGCACCTGGGTGGGAGGGCTTTAGCCATCTGGCTCTAGCCTCCTCCTTGAATTTGTCACAGCCATTGCTACACTCTGTGGCAGAGCAGACAAACTCTTCCTGCATCCTCAATTCAGACAGACGTTTTGCTCAACTGAGGGGTGTTCAGATATAGCTTTTTTAAGGTGCTGTTTTGAGAACATCATTTCCTTAGCAAACATGCGCGCTGTCATATGTATTCTGCCCTGGTCAAACTAGTTTGGCTAGGATTTGGGTAGTGATTCAAGCTGTACTGTATAATACTGGGATTAGCCCCTGAGTATGTCTAGTTGTTTGTGTGTGTTTTGGCATGCCTGTTATTGGAACCCACAGAATAGTATATATGATTCGTTTAATAGACCTTTCTCCACCCCATGCCCAGAGTAGATTTAAACCATGTTTACATTCTTTTTTATCAAGACAATGTGCATATTTACCGCTGTGTGTGTGTGTGTGTGTAAAAAAAAGTAAAAGTGTGAAGTCTTTTTTAAATTAAAGAGTGAAATTAACTAGAGCACAAACATCTTGCATTTTGGTCTAATCAATTTAACCACCTCACTAATCTGTACAGAACTAGGGAAAGCATCTACAGTTTGGAACAAGGCAGGAATGGTCCAGACCCTTTCCTTCCTGTAAACATATCCCAGTTGGCTGGGTTTCCCAGCGTCTTGCTGCCAGTTACTGCCTGAGCTCACTGACTAATTACTACTTTTTCCTCAGACTGAGCCCTAGCTTGTTTTATTGAATGAACACAACTCTCCAGGTGGGGGTGGCAAGCCACATGTGACTGAATTTGAGAACTTCTCCCAGCAACTTCCCCCCTCCACCCAGAAGGTAGGAGCTTCATGAGACGGATGCATTTGCCAGGCCTGTTAGCTCATTTCTAAAAAGAGGTGCCAAGGCTCAAGCCAAACCCCCAGACGGGACAACGGAGGCCATGAGGCAGACCCTCCAAGTGTCCCTGTGTTCCAGGGACAGTCCTGGATTTACAGAAGCCGCCCTGGTTTCTGTTTGACCCCAGAATGTCCCACTTCCTTAGGACATCCCTGTTTTCATCAGAAAAATGTTGGAGGGTATGGAGTTATCCGACATCTGAAGGCAGCTCTGTATAGGGAAGTTGTTTTTTATGTTTAATGTTTTTATGTTTAATGTTTTATTATATTTTTATATATGTTGAAAGCCACCCAGAGTGGCTGGGACAACCCAGTCAGATGGGTGGGGTATAAATAGTAAAATAATAGTAACAACAACAACAATAGATTTAGGATGTCCCTATTTTCATTGGCAAAATGTTGGAGGGTATGCATAAGGTTGTATTTGCAAGCTTATTACCTGTAAAGTTGCATCCTATTGGTATGTCATCCAACAGCCACTGACCTGCCCCTCTCCCACCTGGGTTTGTAGTCCTTCTTACAGGAAACTGACATTGTTGAGCCTTTTAGCTTCTCGTGTGTGTTGTGGAAATGGTGTTTTGTTGCTTTTGCTTTGTTAATAGCTTTGGTACTCTTGAGCTCCCATGATACAAGAGAGTGAACAGCAGGTTCCTCTTGTTCATAGCCATTATCTGAGTTCTCCTTTAATGGGTTTAACCTTTTAAAACCTTGCCTCCAGACTAATGAGATTACTTTCTTTAAACAGGACGGGACTCCTGTGCCCTTAGCAGCAGCGTAACAGGCAGAAATCATCAAGTGAAACTGGATCTGGCACGAAAATTTCAATGATGGCAAAACTATCACTTGTTGATTTATGATAGGGGTAACCAGTTTACCTGCCGGATGTTTAGAACTACAACTCCCATGGGCCCCAGCCAGTATGGTCAATGCTCAAGAATTATGGGAGTTGAAGTTCCAAACATCTGGAGGGCCCCTGATGGGCTACCCCTGATTCATGGCCACTATGAGGCTGTTAAGGGCACTGGAGCTCAGCAGTGGGAAAGTTGAGGTAACTCACAAGAGTCTCATTTATCCCCACAATACCTTGTGAGGCTTCCTACTATTACTCACATTTTAGAATAGAATCATTGTGGCTGAGTAAAAGAGATTTGCCCAAAGGCTATCCTGTGTGTTTATGTCTGAATTTGGCATAGACCTGATTTAATTCTCCCAGGGTCCACTATAAAAACTTCACAGTGACTCGTAAGCGTTTTTCTCTTAGCTGTCAAGTAGCAATTAACTCTTCATCTGTCTGTCTGTCAGAAGCCTGTTGCAACCGGAGATTCATGCTGTAGCTTTGAAATGACCAGTTAGGCAGCAGAGACAGCTCCCCCTCCTGTTCCTCCCAGTTCTGCCATCTACCTCTATTCCTTCCTTGTGACTATCTCCAGGGGTATACCAAGCAGGGGAAAGAGAGGGGCAGGTGAAAGAAGCAATAACTTTGGCATCTCTTGGTCAGCTGGCAAGTTGTTAAAGTCACAACATGAATCTCCCAGTTCAGACAACTCTGGCAACTCTGTGTTTTTTGTCTGCAGGCGTTTTGGCTAACATTCTTTATAGGCCCCCATTTCATTTGGCAAACACTGAAGGTGAGAGTACACACACACACACACGAGTTATGCTTGTACATGTCTGGAATCAACTTCCACCCTTGGCAAGCTATTAGAATAAATCATAAAACAATCCATTTGTAAGCACATAAGAGACAATTGGATAATAAGCAGCCAACATGGATTACTTAAGGACAAATCATGCCAAACCTGATTTCCTTCTTTGAAAAGGCAACTGGTTTGGTGTGTAATTTAAGCACAGAGGTTTTGTAAAGTATCTTAGACATTGACATAATAAAATTCGGGCATGCATAGCTCAGTTGGTTAAGAGCATGGTGCTGATAATACCAGGGTTGCAGGTTCGATCCTCTGATGGGACAGCTGCATTGCAGGGGTTGGACTAGATAATCCTCAGGGTTCCCTCCAACTCTACAATTCTGTGATTCAATGATTGCTCCAGCCCTTATGCTGTTGTGTCCGAAGCATGTGTATTTAGAAATGGCCCACTCTGTAACTGGGCTTACGATTGCAGCCTTGAGTTGGCTTTCTGGCTCGCAACCTGGAGAGCTCTTTTGCCGTAAACATCCCCATAGTTATGAAGGAAGATGCGGTTGGTGCCTTCGGGATGTAGGAAGATTTGTACCAAGTTAGACCATTGTTCCATCCAGCTCAGTAGTGCCTACACTGACCAGCAGTGCCCCCCCCCCCCGGGTTCCAGAGAGAAGATGCTGGGTATGCCATCTGGGACCTTTGGTATGAAAAACACATGTTGTGCCACTGGGCAACAGCAGCCCTTTCCTGCCTGGCTCAGGCTTCCCCAGTGCTACCCCCCACCCTCTGCCTGCCTGCCTGCCTGCCTGCCTGCCGAGGGTCCTGCTTGTTCTAGTGAGCGGGCGCTTTGGGGCTTGGAGAAGGTGGACGGTTCTTCTCCCACATGACAGCCCTGTAAAGCCCTATCAGTTTCAGTTGGGAGAGCGACAACTCTCCCAAGGCCAGTACTCTGCTCCCTCTCTTGCGCAGTTGCTCTGGCTAAGACCAGAGACCTCTTTGGTCACACAATGCATTGCTCCCCCAAATGCTGCTGCCAGTGAAACTCCTGGGTGCATTAAAAGGCAGCACAGCATCTGAACAAACCCTAAAGAAAGGCTGTGCTGATATGTGTTGTCTTTGGCTTCCTTCTAGGGAAGTGACATAGTGCCCTCCTGATGTAGACTACAGCTCCCATCATCCCTGGCCATGGGCTGTGATGGGAGTAATAGTTCTAAACATCTGGAGGAGCATATGTGCCCCATCCCTGCTGTTTTCTAATGGCCACCAAGTTGTACAAGTGCCAATTCTTATGTAGCCAAAACAGCAGCAGGCACCCACAGGAAAGAAGTTTCAGCAGCTTTTTCCTTAAAGCCACCAAAAAAATGCCAATCTAGGGAATCTTGCCATTGCATTGGGTTGCATCATGTGCTTTCTTTCTGCTGCCCCAGGTGGTAGGAAACTTCAGGGGCCAGTTTGAAGAGGGCCTCTCCTTCTCCTTCTAAGGAGAGAAAGACTACCCGAGACTTGTGGCATTTTAGTCATCTTTGTTGCTTGAGTAGGAAAGGCAGGGGCAGCAGGCAAGCAGGCTGAGTAGTAACAGAAATCTTTCAAGTACAAGGAGGCAGGGGGGCTGAGTAGCTACTAGCAGCAACCAGCCTCCTTGCTTACTGACCTTCTAGTCCTCTGTAACCACCAAAGCAGCATCTTTACTGTTTTGCCTGTGCATACAAGGGTCACAAATGCAGTGCACAAACTCACGTTGCACACCTCATTTTTGTGACAAGCATTACAGAATTATAGTTATACAGCCTGTTTCTCTACACTCACGGGTTTGGACAACACAGGTGGATGCGTGCGTGACTGTGCATTAGCTGTGCACCAATTTTACACCAAGCACGTGTGATTTATGTGAATAATAGCAACACTTATTCTAAAAAAGAAAAGAAGCATAGCTGCAGCATTGTCCAAATTGTATCACTCTCCAGCTTGTTTGCACAGTGGTGTTAAGCCAAACTGCCTTATATGAAATGGAAAACAGATTTCATACTCTGCAAGACAGGATTACTTCACCCTCCACACCAAATTATATGGAGATGCCTATGTGGTGCTTCCTCTGTATGCCTCTTACATGCCTGCACATGCGTTTCCCTCCCTACCTGAGCTTCCCCTTTGTTCTGCCTCAAAACAAAAATGCCCCCCTTCCTTCTGAGCCTGTTGGCCGTGAGCCCCTTCCCTCCCTAGCACCATCTGCTCTGAATCTGTCCCTTCCGATGCTTGCCATGTACTCTCTGAGCACTGACATCTGCAAGGAGCCGTCTGCTCTGTCAAGGCTTTGTGTGGGATGACACCCGCTCTTCAGATGGCTCCATGGTTGCAGAAAGAATTAATTAGACACAGGAGGGAGAGTGGGGTAGTTGGGGTAGAACCGGTAACTATAGGGTCCCTGCCTGGAGGTAAGGATTGTTTGGGGAAGGGCTCATAGCTCTGTGGTTGATACAGGTGGAAAAGAAAGTCAATTAAGTTCACATTTAAAGGTGGATCTGCCTAATTCACACTTTTTGAACCACTATGTGAACTAAAGCACCACCGTTCTTTAAGATTTGTGCTGCTCTGAATTGTGCAGTGCATTTCTTCCACCAAGAAACGTGTACAAAAGAGTACATTCTAAGGTGGTGTGCGTTAAAATGCATATATAGGAGAAAATAACATACAAAATGCTTTATATTAAGGGAAATATAAATATCACAAATAAATCTCAGGCAGCATTTCATACAAAAAACTGTGTATATTGGGATAAATTGTTGATGATAAAGTGCTGATGAATTTAAAAGATTCTATAAAAGAAAATTGCAAACTGTCAAGGAGAACAGAATTTAAGATTGGGAAAATGAGGAACAGAGACAAAAACTGAAGTGGACTGATTTGCCATCCCTAATGGGAAAGGTTTGCTTTGCATGCAAAAGGTTGCAGTTACAGCTAGAGGGTTCCAGGTTGAATAATGTCTTTCTGCGTCAGAAGGGGATTCTGACAGCCCAAGGCAGCTTATGAGGCCTTCTCCATCTTCAGAACATTTGGTAAGGAGGGTGACTGCACCAGTGGCAAGCAGCCTCAAGACACCTCGTCCTTGTGCCAGTGTGAACGCCTTCCCAGGGTTCCAGGGTATTCTGGCCACACCCAGCTGGACCTTGGTTGCTGCAAATCTCCCCCCTTGAGCACCCATCTTTCACTCTCTTTTGTCTGTTCCAACCATAGGAGCCGAACTGGCCGGATCATGGAGTTGCTGTCCACCCCACACAGCATTGAGATCAACAACATCACCTGTGACTCATTCCGGATCTCCTGGGCCATGGATGTTGGAGACTTAGACAGAGTCACTCACTACTTCATCGACCTGAACAAAAAAGAGAACAAGAACTCCAACAAATTCAAGCACCGGGTGAGCTGTTACAATGGGCTGCCTTGGTGTTCAGCAGGGGTGAAACAGAAGAACCTGTGGACCTTCAGATGTTGTTGGACTACAACTTCCATCATCTCTGGCCATTGGCCATGCTGTCTGGGGTTGATGGGAGTGGAAGTCCAGCAGCATCTGAGGAAGGCCACAGGTTCCTCATCCCTAGCATACAGGGTGGGGCAAGACATGCTCTCTACATCTCTACTAGCAATCCCTTCAGCCAATAAAAAGCATTCCCCCTTTGCTTCAGTTGCACGCAGACTTAGATCCTTGTTGGCAGCTGTTGATTACCAACCACTAGGGGTGAGCAATGAGATGCCCTCCTGATGGGCTAGATTGTATGTTCTGTGGTTGCACAGCCCACAGTCGGTTCTAATGGGAGCAGTGGTCCAACACATACAAGGCAAGGGCACTAGGCAGCCTACCGCCAGTGCTCCATGCTGTGGCTGCCTCTATATTTATGAACCTACCAATGCTTCTGATAATAACCAGATCTCTCACTTGGAAGGCTTTGGGCATTGCTCTGCGGAAAGCAAACTAGTTCAGTGGTAATTTTTTTTCTCCAGGGAAGCCTGGGAACAAAGGCTTTCTCTTACTATAAAACAGAGATGGGCGATAGCTTTAAAAGCTGTTTGAGGTGTAGGGGGGTGTGTGTGACACCCTCACAATGAGAACACTTAAAAAGTATGCTTCTGAACAGAGGCTGCAGAGTCGTGAAATGAATTACTCACATCTTTCTCCCTCTGAAATGGAGTCACTAATTTGGATGCTGTTTAACAGGTTGGTTGGTTGGTTGGTTGGTTGCTATGACAATGCTACTTAATGTTTAACATTAATTTACACACACACACACACACACACACACACACACACACTACCCTTTCTGTGAGAAGGTTTTCTCCCCTCCCTTTTGCTGCCGTCTCCTGACTCTTCCACATTTGCTGTTGCCACAGAAACAGCCTTGCTCCGCAGAGGACCCCCGGTGGCCTGCTGGCTGGTGTGACCATGTTCTCCCTTACTAACAAATATTTTTAAAGCACTTGCTCTGTTCATTGGGCTATTCCAACTACATTGAAAGAGGATGGGTTTTGTTAAAACCCTTTGTCAGTTTCTGCCTAGGCCTAGGGTTTGTTATGGGCATGGGTAGGCAAACTAAGGCCCGGGGGCTGGATCCGGCCCAATCTCCTTCTCAATCCGGCCCGCGGATGGTCCTGGAATCAGTGTGTTTTTACATGAGTAGAATGTGTCCTTTTATTTAAAATGCATCTCTGGGTTATTTGTGGGGCATAGGAATTCGTTCATTCTCCTCCCCCCAATATAGTCCGGCCCCCCACAAGGTCTGAGGGACAGTGGACCGGCCTCCTGCTGAAAAAGTTTGCTGACCCTGGCTATGGGTGCTGAGAGTTGTTAGGAGACCCCCCCCATTCCTCCCACAGAGATACAATTCCCAGAGTTCCCTGGGAAGCGGGATTGATTGTTAAAGCACCTTGGGAACTGTAGCTCTTGGAGGGAAATAGAGATGTTCTAACAGCTCTCAGAACCTGTAACAAACTACAGTTCCCAGGATTCTTTGGGGGGAAGCCATGAATGTTTAAAATGGCATGATAGTGCCTTAAATGTTCTAGCGTGGATGCTGGTAAAAGGCCATGCCATTTCAGGTCAAAGGTGGAGACTCACATGACCAAATGTTCATTCATATAAAAAGGAGCCTGTCTAAGAGGAGGCTAGGAAAGAACTTTCCACTTGGCTAGGGGTCCTCAAGGATTTTGTTCAGTCTGCATTTCCCCAAGCTGTTATCCAGATCAGAATGCGGTTATCCTTTGGGTTTTGCAGTTCTTTTAATTTTGCATGACAATGTGTAGAATAACATGCAGTTTAGATTAAAATGAAAGCATACAAAAAAGCAAGGTATTTGAAAAGATATGTACAAAATTATGCAAACAGGAGCAGATTTGCCTAACTCTTACGGTTTTATTTATTTATTTATTTATTTATTTGACAGGATTTACATACTGCTTAATCAACTAAACCTCTAAGCAGTTTGCATAAAATATAAAATAATATATTAAAATCACTCATAAAATCAGATGCTAAAAACAAGTTAACCTTTCCTCCCCCCCAATATAAGTAAAATCAGAAGTTTTAAAAATAAACATGAAAAAGGCATATTAAAATGCTTGTCAAATTTATGTCTGGGTAGGCATTCTTAAACAAATAAGTTTTTAACGGGTGCTAAAAACAGTACAGTAAAAGCACTTTTCTAATGATGTTTTGTTAACCACTTAGAAGACACCTGGGCATTAAGTAGTAGTGGTGGTGGTAGTAGTAGTAGTAGAAATCATCATCATCATCATCATCATCACTATGTGGTTGCTTCTTAAAGAAATATTTTCATCATCATCACCATCAATGGGCAGGGAGTTCCATGTGGAAATGGAACAGGCTTATGAAAGAAAACATGTGCAGCTTACAGAGGTGGGAAATAGACTGACTAGTCCATTCGTATCCCTGATATGCTATATACAGGAATGTATTTTATTTGGCATGGAGACATAGGGGCTTATGTGAGCCCCCCATAATCCGAAGTGGTACGAGCTGGATGCAGATTTAGCAACTCAGCAAGAGCCGGGTCCTGGGATGAGGGTGGAGAGGCAATAGTCATAGAATCATAGAATCATAGAATCATAGAGTTGGAAGAGACCACAAGGGCCATCGAGTCCAACCCCCTGCCAAGCAGGAAACACCATCAGAGCACTCCTGACATATGGTTGTCAAGCCTCTGCTTAAAGACCTCCAAAGAAGGAGACTCCACCACACTCCTTGGCAGCAAATTCCACTGTCGAACAGCTCTTACTGTCAGGAAGTTCTTCCTAAGGTTTAGGTGGAATCTTCTTTCTTGTAGTTTGGATCCATTGCTCCGTGTCCGCTTCTCTGGAGCAGCAGAAAACAACCTTTCTCCCTCCTCTATGTGACATCCTTTTATATATTTGAACATGGCTATCATATCACCCCTTAACCTCCTCTTCTCCAGGCTAAACATGCCCAGCTCCCTTAGCCGTTCCTCATAAGGCATCGTTTCCAGGCCTTTGACCATTTTGGTTGCCCTCCTCTGGACACGTTCCAGTTTGTCAGTGTCCTTCTTGAACTGTGGTGCCCAGAACTGGACACAGTACTCCAGGTGAGGTCTGACCAGAGCAGAATACAGTGGCACTATTACTTCCCTTGATCTAGATGCTATACTCCTATTGATGCAGCCCAGCATTGCATTGGCTTTTTTAGCTGCCGCGTCACACTTTTGGCTCAGGTCAAGTTTGTGGTCAACCAAGACTCCTAGATCCTTTTCACATGTACTGCTCTCAAGCCAGGTGTCCCCCATCTTGTATTTGTGCCTCTCATTTTTTTTGCCCAAGTGCAATACTTTACATTTCTCCCTGTTAAAATTCATCTTGTTTGTTTTGGCCCAGTTCTCTAATCTGTCAAGGTCGTTTTGAAGTGTGATCCTGTCCTCTGGGGTGTTAGCCACCCCTCCCAGTTTGGTGTCATCTGCAAATTTGATCAGGATGCCCTTGAGTCCATCATCCAAGTCGTTGATAAAGATGTTGAATAAGACCGGGCCCAAGACACCCCACTAGTCACTCTTCTCCAGGATGAAGAGGAACCATTGATGAGCACCCTTTGGATTCGGTCAGTCAGCCAGTTACAAATCCACTGAGTGGTAGCATAGTCAAGACCGCATTTTACCAGCTTCTTTACAAGATTATCATGGGGCACCTTGTCAAATGCCTTGCTGAAATCAAGGTAGGCTACATCCACTGCGTTCCCTTCATCTACCAGGCTTGTAATTCTGTCAAAAAACGAGATCAGGTTAGTCTGACATGACTTATTTTTCAGAAATCCATGCGGACTATTGGTGATCACAGCATTCCTTTCTAGGTGCTCACAGACTGTTTGCTTAATGATCTGCTCCAGAATCTTCCCTGGTATTGATGTCAGACTGACTGGGCGGTAATTATTTGGGTCCTCTCTTTCCCCTTTTTGAAAATAGGGACAACATTTGCCCTCCTCCAGTCTGCCGGGACTTCGCCTGTTCTCCAGGAATTCTCAAAGATGACTGCCAGTGGTTCTGAGATCACATCTGCCAGTTCTTTTAATACTCTTGGATGCAGTTCATCTGGCCCTGGAGACTTGAATACATCTAAACTAGCCAAGTATTCTTGTACTATCTCCTTAGTTATTCTGGGCTGTGTTTCCTTTGCTGAATCATTTGCTCCAAATTCTTCAGGTTGGGCATTGTTTTCTTTATCGGAGAAGACTGAGGCAAAGAAGGCATTGAGGAGTTCAGCCCTTTCTGTGTCCCCTGTTTGCATTTCACCATCTTCTCCTCTGAGTGACCCCACTGTTTCTTTGTTCTTCCTTTTGCTACGAACATACCCATAAAAGCCTTTTTGTTGCTTTTAACCTCTCTAGCAAGCCTGAGTTCATTCTGTGCTTTAGCTTTTCTGACTTTGTGTCTACACGTGCTGGCTATTTGTTTGAATTCCTCTTTGGTGGTTTCCCCCTTTTCCATTTTTGTACACATCCTTTTTAATCTTAACTCAGTTAAAAGTTCTTTAGATAGCCACCCTGGCTTCTTTAGGCACCTTCCATGTTTCCGTCTCATTGGTATTGCCTGAAGTTGTGCTTTTACTATCTCCCTCTTAACAAACTCCCACCCATCATGAACTCCCTTTCCTTTTAGTATTACTGTCCATGGGATCTCACCCAGCACTTCCCTAAGTTTTATGAAGTCGGCTTTCTTAAAGTCAAGAAATTGAGTCCTAGTATGCTTGGCTGCTCCTTTAGGACCTCACTACAGTGTTACATTTTGAAACCTGAGTATACAGCAACCATATTAGTCATTTTAAAACTTAAACAAACTGAGGTGAGTACACAGGGAATGCAGTGCTAGTAAAATGCTGCTGTATTTCACAGAAACATACTGCCCTGCTCATCAATAATTACTGATAGCAATAAATATTGCAGTGTTCCACAGTAACCAAGTACTATTTTAATGAATGTTATAGTTCTCCACACTTAATTTATACTGTGCCTTTTCTTCTGCGAGCACTGTAAGCAAAAAGCCTCTCAACATCCACCACCCATCTTTTTATGGCACCTAGGACGGCCATTCTTCAGTGTTTCAAGCAAGACTTTGATGCACATTGATGTAGAGGCTGGGATGTTGTGCTCAAAAGATTTTTGAAACCTTTAGAGAAAATGTACTTTTACACCACATAGTAAACACATAAGGAGGGTTGCAGCATATTGTCAGTTAACAAGTTAGATTAATTTATTAAAAACTTTTTGATTGATTAAAAATTTGCCCCATTAATCAGACAGCAGATATTTAAAAAAACTTGTTAATTCTCACACAAAGGCAAGATCACTCACCCCCCAACCTGGCTGTTAGGTGTTCAATGGCTGGCAGGTGCCATCAGGCATCAAAAGCTGTCGAGTGCCCATCAAAGTAATGTCTTCAGCTGAACAAAAGACTAGAGCCATAGCTCTTAAACTGTGGGGCAGCTGTGACATTTTGGGACAAATAGGACCCTAAAGCAGGTGGAAACTTCTCTGCATTCCAGCCAAGATGCAGGTCGTGTTTTGAATGGCTCTGGCCGGGGACTTCACAGATCCATGTGGGATTTGTGGGAGCTTGCTGCACCCTCATTGCCCCATCATCTCGCATATGATTTTAGAAGAACGGTGCTTAGGAAGAGCTGCCAGTTTCTTCTTACAATGTTTCTCAGCCCGTTGTTTTAGGAAAGCATCATCGATAACCTTTTCTGTTCACCTTCTAGTGCTAGAGTGGGACTTTTATTATCTAGAGTCCCTTGCACCCTTGGCAAGGAGCTGTATCAAACAGTAATGGGCAGCAGCCAATAAACCCACAAAATACCACCAAAGCAGGTGTGGGGAACCACTGGTCCTCCAGATGTTACTGACCTACAACTCCCATCATCCCTTACCATTGTCTGTGGTTGCTGTGCCTGATGGGAGCTGTAGTTCAACATTATCTGGCAAGCTTAGACAAATGGGAAGAAGAATAAGGTAGAGCCCTGCTGGCTATAGAGAGACCCTATCTTCTGAGCATGGCCTCTGAGCATAGGTTCTGCTGAACATAGGAAACTGTTAGATCTGGCCATTACTCTGATTGGCAGCATCTCTCTTGGGTTTCTGGCACAGAGGTCTTCCACACTCCCTGCTTTTTGGTCCTTTTAGCTGGAGATGCTTCAGGGATTGAACCTGGGTCAGTCATGCAAGGTATGTGCTCTCTCATGATCACACTTCACCAAAGATCTTAACACGCAGGCACTTTTATAGGGCAGCAAGCAGCCCCTTCGCTTTCCTGCTCCAGGGTTTGGAAAGAAACTGGTAGCACTGGCCAATTATTACCAGTTCTACCTCTCCCAGTTAATAACCTGGCTGTCATCAGGGCCATAGCTAGGGGGTGGTGAGGTGGGCCCCCGCCAGGGGCGCAGGTGAGGGGGCGTGCACACAAAATTGGCTTAGAAATATGTCCATAAATATGTCTATAAATAAAAATATTGATTATTGCCTCATAAGAAAAGGTTTTTAATAGAGGGTGAATTGAATGGGGGGGGGGTTGGAGGAGAGGCGGAAAGAAGAGCTAATTTGTCCATGGCTGGGGGACACAATCTGGAGAGTTTTTCCAGGGGTGCAAGATCACCTCGCTACAGCTCTGGCTGTCATTCCCTGCATCATTTCCAGTTTGCAAACAATCTGTACAGACAAGCTTCCCCGTCTAATGCAACGCATAGAGAAATGCATCAGGATTAAAGGTTCCTGAATTAGAAGACCTTTAATGGTGGGAAAGAGGGCCTTCTCCAGGGTGAATTTTTAAAAATCTGCTCTTGCCTGTTAATAGACTATTATTATTTTTTAAAATTATGCCAGGGATTCCAAATGATGAATTAATCTGATTGTTCCTAACATAACATGCAACTGAGTGGCATCTTGTACCTTGTTCCAGTAATGAATAAACAGGCTCAACTTCCTGCACAAATGAGTCATGTTGTTGTTTTCCCTCTGCCTTAGTCTTATAATATAAATTTAAATTATATATTTGTCTTCCACATCCTGAGATCTCAGAATAAAGGGCACTCTGTACGTATTTTAAATAAAGAAAAAGTGGAGGAAAAGTTCTGCTGAAAGGCAGGTTGCCCCCCCCCCATGCCTTCACCTGCACAGCTTTGCGGGAGTGCCAGCTGAGTTGCAGAGCACCCTCTTGGCTTGCATGAGATAATGGGGAGGCCCAACAGTGCTAGCCAGTGTCCTGCATGGACTGAGGTAGCACCCTAAAAACATGGTTGTCAAATCCTCTGCTTTGCCCAGGTTCTTTGCTGCAGCCACACAGAACTTTCATGGCAGACAAGCAGATACGGGAAGGTAGAAAAATTGGGAAGTAGACTATTTGGAGAGTGCACTGGTCTATAAAGCCAGGAGTGGGTTGGTGCAGGATGCACAAGGGTTATCTTATTTTGTGGACCAGCCTTTGTCAACTTTTGGCCATCTAGATGCTTTGGACTGTAACTCCCATCAGCCCCAGTCAGTTCAGTTGGAGTTGGGATGACTGATGGGAGTTGTAGTCCAAGGCATCTGGAGGGCAAAGGCTGCCATAGATCAAAGGATGGAGCACAGCCTTTTATCAGGCCAGGAGTATGTAACTTCCCATCTGTGGCCAATCCAGAATTAAAGCAAGAAACCTTGGCCTCTCCCTTCTCCTGATGGTGCCTAGGGTGGTGGCGCCTGGGCCCAGCCATTTCCCAGGAAACTCCAGGCCCCAAATCTAGTTTGATTCCTGACGCGGCTTGATTCTTTTCTTTGGGCAGGATGTCCCTACCAAGCTAGTGGCCAAGGCAGTTGCTCTGCCCATGACTGTGAGGGGTCATTGGTTTCTGAGTCCCAGGACGGAGTACAGCGTGGCCGTGCAGACGGCAGTGAAGCAGAGTGACGGAGAGTACCTGGTGTCTGGATGGAGCGAGACCATTGAATTCTGCACAGGAGGTGAGTGTTCAGCAGAAGCCTTGAGCCTTGGCAGTTCTACTCTTGAGAGCACCCAGAGATGCACTTAGTATGTACTAGAACCATAATAGCCAACACGTCACACTCCAGATGTTTTAGAAGACAACTCCCATCAGCCTCAGCTAACATAAGTAAATGGTCAGGGTTGGTGGAAATTGTGGTTGTAAACATCTGGAGCAGGGGTGGGTAACCTCTTCTGGCCAGAGGGCTAGATCTTTATCTCCTCCACCCTGGGCAGAGCCGCCCACCTGTCAATCACCTGACAACATCATGACATCCGCTGATCTACGTTCCAATTGTTGGGACTTCAAAGTGAACCAACAGCCCTTAGTAAACATATTTGTGTGTTTAAGAGACCCCCCTCCACTATTTTTCCTTCAAAGATTTGAAGGAGCTCAGAGGTTGGGAGCATGCTCCCATTTGCCTTCCAGCTGATGGGCAGGTGGGAAGACACCTTCAAATGCCCTCTCCACCTTCTCCTTCAAAGTTCCATGGAGCATGCTGCTCCCGCCATCACCTGGGGTGCGGGGGTGGGGTGGGGTGGCTTTCTGTAAATGGCCTTGTGGGCCAAACAGAGAGGCCTAGGGGCCAGCTTTGGTCTGCAGGCTGGAGGTTCCTCACCCCGATCTGGAGGTTACCATGTTGCTAGAAAGTGTGCTCTTTTTGTTGCAGCCCTCTGACTCAGTTACCAACTAGACAAGTGCCAGGTAGATTGATGTTTAGGTGCCTGTTGAAGGCCCCTTTGCTTTAAGAAGGCTTTTCCGGAAGTTTGAACCAGTAATGTTAAGGACTATTGATTGCAAAACTGCAGAAACACTGTCATTCATTTCAATGAAAATTAAATTATTGAATTTGTATCCTGCCATATTTTATGTTATTTTGTCTTACTAAACACTACTTAAGTAGCTTGGGTTGCAAAGCAGCTTATAAATCAGCAGCTAAATAAAATACATGCTAGAATCAGAGAATAATAGAACTGCAGAATCATAGAATTATAAAGTTGGAAGGAACCGCCAGGCTCATCTAGTCCAGCCTCCTGCAAGGCAGGAGTCACAGCTAAAGAATCCCTACGAGATGGCCGTCCTGCCTCTGCTGAAAAGCCTCCCGGAAGGAGGCCGGGCAACGGGCTGCCTTGTGCAGCGGATCTTTTGCGCTAGAGGTGCTAGGGCAGGGCAGGGGGCCTCACTCACGGAGACAGCAGCCCCCAGAGCTGCTCTCTTCTGGAAAACCTGCTGACCTCGATGGCAACGTCTTGGAGTCACGGCCACAGGGAGGCCTCTTTCGTATACCTCAGACACCTTGACATTTTTGTTCTTATTGTTAAAAGGGAAGCTTCTGACTTTTATGGGTGAAAAAGATACAACAGGGATGCAGCCCTTGTGACTCTCCATATGCTGCCTGACCACCCTGGCTGGTGGGAGTTGGGGTCCCAGGGCATCTGGAGGGCCACAGCTTCCCCACAACCAGACAGGAGGAAAAGCTGGCAAGCAGGATTTTACCCAACTGTTCACTAAGGGCTCATCCACACTTCCACTTTTCCCGTGCCTAGAAAGCAGAAGTCTGAATGAGCCCTAAGAGATAAATTTATTCCACTTCCCAGTAAGTTCAAAGGAACTGAGATAGCTGACAAGGCCCTGGGCACTCATTTTTAAGGGAAGCTTTTTTTCCTTCAATGAAAGCTTGTGCCGCACAAAGCAAATTGCAGATGTGGGGGCCCTGATCCATTTCAGGACTGCTGCAGTGAGAGCCCCCACCCCACCCCTTGCCTTGCACCTGGGTCCCAATCCAAATCACTCTCACCCACCAACCACCCCAATGTCTGCAATTTAATAATAATAATAATAATAATAATAATAATAATAATAATAAATTTTATTTATACCCCGCCCTCCCCAGCTGAAGCTGGGCTCAGGGTGGCTAACAACAATCAAAATAATCCAACATTCTAAAAACCTTTCATTATAAAAATTAATTAAAATCAAATTGATGGCAACCATTAAGCAAAATTCTGTGCAGATTGCCAGGGCTGCACCCTGACCAAAGGCCTGGTGGAACAGCTCTGTCTTACAGGCCCTGCGGAAAGATGTCAGGTCCCGCAGGGCCCTAGTCTCTTGTGACAGAGCGTTCCACCAGATTGGAGCTGCGGCCGAGAAAGCCCTGGCTCTAGTTGAGGCCAGCCTAACCTCTCTGTGCCTGGGATCTTCAAGATGTTTTTATTTGCAGACCATAAGTTCTTCTGTGGGACATACCAGGAGAGGCGGTCCCGTAGGATAAAATTTGCTTTTTAAAAGTGTAATGGTAAATTTTTGAAATGCAGAAGCTTACCATGACTGTAATTAGACTGGAGATAAAATAACACATCTCACTATTGTTTGTGGCTTGGCTGTGCATAGTTATCTGGGTGTAAATGCCATTGAACTCAGGGATGCTGGCTGCATAGGTTCAATTTGTAAATGAGCTTTAAGGAAAGCTATTCAGCCAGCTGAAATGCAGGCTTTAGCTTTTAAATAGAAGGACAGACATTCCTGCCAAGAGGTAGGAACCCCGTCAAGGAAATGAAAAGAAGTATCCAGCCTCTTCTTGATTATTTTCCTTATTCTCTGACTTCTTTCTGCCAACTAACAATAGTAAAACTCAATATCACTTCTTCCCTATGGAGGGTTTGTTAATTACTGTGGTGCTCCAGAAGAGAATGTCACCACTCCTGCTCTGAAAAAAGAGTGCCTGTTCTGTGCTCTTCCACATTTCTGCTCCACAACACTACGGCCTACAAGCTGGTGTCTTGTCTGAAAGCACTTAAGCAGTCTCAAAAGACCTACTTGCATGGATGGGAAAGGGAATGTGGGCCGTTACAGTGGTACCTCTGGTTACGTACTTAATTCGTTCCGGAGTTCTGTTCTTAACCTGAAACTGTTCCTAACCTGAAGCACCACTTTAGCTAATAGGGCCTCTTGCTGCCGCCGCGCCACTGCTGCGCGATTTCTGTTCTTATCCTGAAGCAAAGTTCTTAACCCGAGGTAATATTTCTGGGTTAACAGAGTCTGTAACCTGAAGCGTATGTAAGCCGAGGTACCACTGTACTGTATGTTTTGAAGTTTAAGGAATAAGGGAGATTTTATAACACACACACACACACACACACACACACTTGTTTGGGCTAGCTAAAAGGCGGGGCCTTGTTTGATGGGAGCTGGAACAGGCTGAGTGGTGCTGAAAGGTAGTAAATCCAGATTTCGTGATGAAGCAAGAGTCTCTGAGTGGGAGGCAAAAGGCATGCCATTGCAAGACGCCCAGAGCAGGTGAGGTGGGTGGAGGTGACAAGCAAAGAGAACTAGCTGGAGGCAAAAGATCCAGGTGTGGGAAGAAGAAGAAGAAGAAGAAGAAGAAGAAGAAGAAGAAGAAGAAGGGGATAGGGATATATTGGGGCGGGGGCTGAAGAGAGGTGGAGATTGGTCATGTGGCAACTGATTGAGAATTTGATGAAACCCTGTCCCCTTGGTGTCCCCTGCAGACTATGCGAAGGAGCATTTGGCGCAGCTGCAGGAGAAAGCGGAACTCATTGCAGGGAGGATGCTCAGGTTCTCCGTCTTCTATCGGAACCACACCAAGGAATATTTCCAGCATGTCAGGTAAGTGCTTTCAAGCCATGTGCAAATGGGGAGCAGAGTGGCAGGAAATGGGTGCTGGTACCCCATCCCTTCCTCCACGCCAAGTTGCCATATCCCGTTGTCACGGTTATCGTTTGCCCATATCCCTCTTCTCCCTCTGACAATTGCACTGGACAGAGGTGTGATATGACATCCGATATGACGTCAGAGAGTTGGATTTGGACCCAGGGCCTCCAGTTGCTGACCCCAACATTTATTCTAGAGTCTGATGTTAGGGATCATAGAAAGTGGGTGATGGTGGGGACCCTCTCAAAGAACTGCCCAGTCATGAGCTGCAGTGCTTCACCTTCCCAAGTTGTCTTGTCTTAAAGGTGAAATCCATTTCAGACTCTCCACCAGAGCTGAGAATACAGGTCAGGCCTCTGGATTCCTGCTACTCCCCCATTTTGATCAAGGTTTCCAGTCATTACCGTTTTATCCCATCCTTCCTCCAAGGAACTCAAAGTCTCCTTAATTTTCTCTTCACAACAATCCTGTAAGGTAGGTTAGTCTATGTGAGCTTCAAGGCTGCATAGGAAACTGAGCCCTGACCTCCCTGGATCTAGGCCAACACGGTGACCGTTATATAATACACTTAAAAAAATGAAAAGAAATACATTTTCTTTCTTCCCTTCCTCCAAAGAGCTCAGAGCGTGATGCATAAGTCTCCCTTCCTCACCCACTTTTATCCTCCCTGCAGCCCAGTGAGGTAGGTCAGGTTGAGAGATCACAAAGGATCCAGGGTCACCCAGTGAGCTTCACGACTGAGTAGGCGTTTGAATCCAGGACTCCCAAGGCCTAGTCTAAAACTTTTGAACCACTGCTTCACACTGCCTCTCACTCCTGTTCCCTGAGCTAGATTGAAGTACTAAGGGTGGGGGTCAGAGGTTGCTTCACCTGCTCCAGAGTGTGGTACAGTGGTTAGAGAGCTAGACTAGGACTTGGGAGAGCAGGGTTCGAATTCCCACTCAGCCATGAGGCTCACTGGGTGACCTTGGGCCAGTCACCAACCCTTAGCCATACCTACTCCACAGGGTTGTTGTGGGGATGAAATGGGGGGGGGGAGAACCATGTCCACCACCATGAGCTCCTTGGAAGATAAATGTTGCATATAAATGAAATAAATAAATAGCTATTCATGTAACAATAAAATAAGAAAGCCCTGATGATCCCCTCCCACCTTCCTGAGGTCACTTCCTGTAATTCAGGGCGGGGGCATAGTCAGAAGGGCTCTTTACATTTAAGGCCCGTCCTGACCGCAGCTGCTGCTGCTTCTCCCCCCCCCCCCTTGTGGCTGACTGTCTGCCTCTCCCTCCTGGCCAGAATTCACAGTGGGAATGTCATGAAGCCCTACCTGAAGGACAACAGCGGCAGCCACGGCTCTCCCACCAGCGGGATGTTGCATGGCATCTTCTTCAGCTGCAACACCGAGTTCAACACAGGGCAGCCCCCGCAGGACTCCCCCTACGGCCGCTACCGCCTCCAGATCCCTGCCCAGCGCCTCTTTGGCCCCAACACCAACCTCTACTTTGCGGACTTCTACTGCATGTACACCGCCTACCACTATGTCATCCTGGTGCTGGCGCCCAAGGGGTCCCCCGGAGACAACTTCTGCCAGGAGCGCTTGCCCCAGCTGGACATTACGGGCAACAAGTTCCTGACCTGCTGTGTGGAGGAGGGCGAGCTGGTCTACCGCCATGCCCAGGACATCATCCTGGAGATCATCTACACCGAGCCGGTTGACCTCAGCCTAGGGGTGCTGGGGGAGATCAGCGGCCATCAGCTCATGAGCCTTTCGACGGCCGATGCCAAGAAGGATCCCAGCTGCAAGACGTGCAACATCAGTGTGGGGCGCTAGAGACCGGAGGGGGTGGGGTGGATTAGGGAGGGGAAGGGAGGGGATACGAGAGATCTCTGTGGACTGAAGGCCCCTGGCAGTGACGTGGCAGGCTGTGAGCTGCCGCCTCCCCATTGCTAGAGAAGTGGGCCCCTCACTGCATCCATCTCTCTAGCCCTTGCATGCTTCCATAGAGCCACTGTAAATAAGATCCTGAGCTAGAGAGAGGTGGGTGGAGTCAGCTCTGCAGGGCCCTACTCTTCCAGCAAGATAACCAGTGGGTCCACTTGTGAAAGGTCAGCCTAGATTTCTTGGGTTCTCTCTATAGGGAGAAAGACCGCTTGCCTTCTGTGCCCCTCACCCTGTTCAAACTCAATGTGGGCATTTCACTGCACATGCAGCAAACACTCTGGCCAGTGTGATAAAGGATCTGCCTTCTGAAACAGGTCACAAGTGGGAGCCGTCTCGACTTCTTTACCACCCTATTTCCGCTGGCCGTTCCGCTCCCGAAGGCTCACCCAAGGGGCCTTTCCTGCCACGTCTCCCTCCCTCGTCTACAGCAGAGCCTGGGAGCCTGTGGCCCTCCAGCCGTTGGTGTCCTGCGTCTCCCATTCTCCCTGCCCTTGGTCATGCTGGCAGGGAGTGGTGAGAGCTGCAGTCCAGCAGCGGCAGGAGGCTCACCCCTCATCTGCAGCCTTCTGTGTGTATGGAAGACTGGAGGGGGAGAACCCCCCTCCTTCTGGGGGGAAGCTCACATATTCAGCCGGCACCCCCCCCATCAGGTTTTGTGATGTGCAGAACTAGTCTGTGGTTTTCACGGACAAAGGGCTGCAGGAGGGAAGCCTATGGATGATGCGTCATATTTCTGGGGCTCCCAGCAGGGAAAAGAGAATCACAGGTAGATTCCTTCACTTCCTCTGGGTGCGACATCTTATTGCTTCACATCATTTATGTGTTTTGATGAAATAAAAGAAGCAGTTGGAGGAGGGGAAAGAGGGCAGAGAGAGAAGAGGCAGGCTCCAGCAGGCCTGTTGGCGCAGCCTCAAATAGGACTGGAATGCTGGTGGCTGGTAGCGGCACAGAGGCTCCCAGCCTGTCTCCCTTGTCTGTCACGCAGCCCAGCCTTGCCTGGTCTCCCTGCTTATCTGGGCTGGCGGAGGAATCTAGTTTGCCCACGTTGGGCCAGGCTGTGTGTCCTCACGTGACTGTCTTTTGAGACTATGGCAGCACGGGGAGCGGGAGAGCGGCTCCTCGCCATGGGGCCAAATGACATGCAGCCCCACCAAAGTATTACTTAAGCCAAAAGCAGCCTGGTGGCCATGGCAGAATAGGGGGACAGGGCTGCTCCACCCTTTCCCTTCCATCTGACTCTCTTCTTTTCTCCCCCTGGCTGGAGTGGGGAGGGATATGCAAGGGCCACCCCCACACTGTTCCTTTGCTTCCAGCTGCAGCTCTCTTGAGGCTGCTTTTGGCAGCTGACAGTCCTGCAGCAGGTAATTGGCCACGTCTGAAGCTGCTAAGCGCTGGACCGCGCTCTCTGCCTACAGCCAGTCTGGGGCAGCAACTGCTCTACTTGCAGCAGGAAAGAAGAGTCAGAGGAATGTGGGGGTAAAAGCACAAATCTCAGGCTTGGCCTGACAGGTGTTAGCACTTCCTTTGCAGCCACTCCCCAGCTCTGTCTCAACCTGCCCATGACCTCACTCAGCCACCAAGAACCTGCTCTGCTGAGACAGGCTAGACCTGCTCAAACCCCCCCCCCCGGCTCAGGTCTGCGCTTCAGGCTCAGGCCACCTCTGCTGATTTGTTTGGGTTTTCTTGTGCTGTGTGTGCGTGTGTGAATATTTTGCCTTCCAAGAGAGCTGCTTGCACACTGCTCCTTTTGATGCAGGGCAACCTGAGAGGGTTAAGAACATGAGAGGAGTCCTGCTGGATCAGGCGAAAGGCGCATCTCATGCAGCATCTGGTCCTCACAGAGAGAAACAGGCCTCTGAGAAACCTGTAAGCAGGACCTGAGTGCCCAAATTCCCAGTAGCGTAGATTCAGTGACATCCTGCCCCCAGAGCCAGAGGAGAACACAGCCATCACGGCCAGGAGCCACAGAGAGCCTGGGTCTCCATGAATTAGTCTGGTCCTCCTTTCAAACCATCCAAGTTGGTGTTGTCACACCATCTTGTGGGAGCAGATGAACTACGTGCATTCTTTTCGTGGTCCTGAATCTTCAGTCATTCAGCTCCTTTGAATAGTCCCAGATTCTAGTATTGTGTGAGGAGGAAGAGAACTTCTCTATCCACTTGTCTCCCCACAGCCAGGAGGAAAGAGGATTTCCATTCTGTCAGTGTCTCTATTTTTGCTGAGTTGGCATGTAAGATATGGCTGGTGATGAGCAGAGATTCCATTTTGCATTGGGGTAAAAGTCTACGACTGTTGAATAAATAGGAGTGCTGTGCCAGAGAACTCCCCACCCCACCCCACAGGCAGATTTAAAGGGAATACTCCAAAGGAGCGCTCACACCTTGAGAAAAACAACTTGTGAGCACACAGAGAGAAATGGAAGGCCACTGGGTGGCAACTTTTCTGTGGTTCTTCTGAACCTATAAACAGCCTTTGCCCAACTGGGGCTGAGAGGAGTCAGCTGGTCTGTAAGAACCCTGGAGTGTCTGTCTACCATGAAGATCATAGCCCACCCCCTACATGTGACCTGGCAGGTCTGTCTGTCTCTCTCTCACACACACACCCCTCCAATTCCCCCCCCCCCCCCCAGGAAGCAGCAGAGCCAGAGAGTTCATCAAGCCTCTATTGAGCCTCCATGTATGGCTAAGGGGGACCATTGGGCTCAGTGGGCTGCAGATTTCTGCAGATCTGCAATGTATTTTGCCATTCTTGTGGGTTTTCAGCATGTGTTGCTAGGAAGCCTTGGACAAAAAGATCTGTAATGGTGCCAGGTGTGTCTAAAAGGCAGCTTGTCTGTGATCTGGAACCATAGCAAGGCCAAACAGATATGGGCAGGGTAGCCCATAAACTCACATTGGGTCAGAGTCGACTGGAATGCTGGCAGAAGCGATCACAAGGACTCCTGCTAGAGCAAAGGGCCTTCCACCCCATTGTCTCCCCCAAATCCTCTCTGGATAGTCGAGGGAACCCACAGATCAGCACATGGGTGGAGAAGAAAGCAGAAATGCTTGCATGGATGGACAATCGTATTTGTGTTGAATCCCACCCAGTGTGCTTTAGACTGCAGCCCCCAAAATCCTCTGCTGTGTGTGGAGATTCTGCAGGAATAATTCTGATGAATATAATAGCAGGTGAATCTACAGTGGTACCTCGGGTTACATACGCTTCAGGTTACATACGCTTCAGGTTACAGACGCCGCTAACCCAGAAATAGTGCTTCAGGTTAAGAACTTTGCTTCAGGGTAAGGACAGAAATCGGGCTCCGGCAGCGCGGCGGCAGCAGGAGGCCCCATTAGCTAAAGTGGTGCTTCAGGTTAAGAACAGTTTCAGGTTAAGTACAGACCTCTGGAACGAATTAAGTACTTAACCCGAGGTACCACTGTACATGGAAAGGTGAGCCTCATAGAAATCTTGAGGAGAAAAGACCATAAGAGCCCATCTAGATCATCAGCCTATGCTTACAGTGGCCAAGGAGTTGCCCATGGGAAGTCAACAGGCAAGACGTGAGTGCGACAGAACTCTCCTTACTTTTCATTCCATGTAACTGGTGTGCCGAGGCCGACTGTCTAAAACCACAGTGGCAGAACATGGCAGCCACTGATAGCCTCACGCTCAATGAATATAGATTGGGAGAGGCAGTGACTTACCCATGGAGGAACAAAAATTTGAAACCAGATGCCAACCACTTTCCCCACTATCTGCCAATGGTGGTCTTGAAAGCCACCTTTTAGATGACAGCAATTCCTCAGTCACCAAATCCAAGTAATTTCAAAAACAGGAGATGATTCTGGAGTTGGGTCAAGGCACCTTCACAGTGTTCAGCTTTTGCCAATCTGATGCCCTCCAGTCCCATATGAGAAACAGTCCTGAAAATAAGACATTTGGGGCCATCTCAGATGGGGTTGTCTTGTTGGTTGCTGAATGACGAGGCAAACTGAAGTCTCTTTTGTAGACAGTGGAAGCAAATTATAATCCTCTTGGATGGATGATGCAGAAGAATCAACAGTTCCCCGTGTAGCCAGTGTGTAGAATTGAGTGTATTCCTGCAAAATATCTCATTGGCTGAAAAATACATGAGGGTACATCAGCAACCAATCACAAGCACTGTCAGCTGGAGCTGTGCCCGGCTGGGGCTGATGGGAGATGTACTCCCCAAACACCTGGAAGGCACCAGGTTGGAGAAAGCGTTGTTGTTGATGTTGATTACCTGCCCTTCACCCTAAGGTCCCAAGGTGGGTTACAACATTCACACACAATAGTAAAAGCAGTTTAAAACAATTTGCAATCACAAAAATAAGGTGGGTCCTAAAAATATACACTTCAAGTGTAAAAAGCCACAGGAAAGAGGTATGTCTTCAGCATTCTCCAGAAGCTGCATAATGAAGGTGCCAGGTGGAACTCTGTGGGGAGGGAGTCCCGCTGCAGGGGGCCACCACAGAGAAGGCCTGGTCCACCAGCCCCTGAGCCTATGAGGGCAGAGAAACTACCAAGAGGGCCCCCTCTGCTGATCTCAGCACCCGAGAGGGTCTGCAGGGAATCCCACTGCTAGACCAAGGATGTCTGGTATATATTGCACTTCCATGTTACATTACCCGCTCATTTTGGAGGACTCTATCACAACAAACCTATCAGCAAAGCAGTGTAGATTGTACTTCAAGCCTGGATCCAATGGCCTTCTGCAAAATGACTGGTATGCTCAAAGAAGTCCTAACAGAATGTTTTTTCGTTAAAATAAATATTATTACGTGGCAGTCAGTAAATCAGGTTTTAAAGCAAAGAGGTTTTGGCAGGGGAGGCTTGGCTTTCAGGGCTGCAGATAAGTTTTTATTCTTGGCAGCATTTCAAAATGAACAAGTGAGTGTCCAGATGTTCAGTGCAGCCAGCTGTGTGGTGATTGCTGTGTGCTGTCGCAGGTATTGTGCCGTGAATGCTGCTAGCATGGAGTAATAAGAACCCTGTCTTTTTCTATACTAGCTTTCAATTTCCTCTCCTCCCCCTTCCCCCTTCCTGTTGCACTGCAAATTTCAACCTTGCTGATGGAAAGCGTGACACCTGCCCCTGGGAATGCTGTATTTACTGTTGGGAGGCAAATTCAGCTGTCCTTGACTCTTTCCAGCTTTGTAAGTGTTATGCTAAGAAATCCGATGGCAGTATGTGTTGGATTTGTTAGATGCTTTCCCCCCTCCAGCAGGTGTATCTGAAAATTGTATTGGGAAGAACTGTGGGACTTCCTGTCTCTGTGAGACAAGAGCCTTTTCCCATTTCATTTCCAGTGCAAAAAGAGAGCATTTGGCTGGTGAACCAGGCATAGAAAGGGAACAGAACAAGCGACAGACAGCTTTCCTGTATTGCATATCTTCACACAGAATCTGTTTGCCAAACACCAAGGGTGCATAACACCAATTGCTTCCCCTGTGCAGAGGAGGTGAGGAGTACTATAGCACCCTTGGCCAACCTGGTGCCACCCAGAGGTTTTGGACTACAGCTCCCATCAGCCACAGCCCAGACTGACACAGGCTCAGTCTACTGAGTCTATTGAGTTCATCCTGTGCAAAAATGGCTCCTGGACTTCACCATTGGTGGGGGAATTGGCTGATGCAAGGCTCCCTCCATATAAAATCTCTTCACTGAACCAACCAATTAAATGATGAGAAAATAAATGTCAAACCTCAGTTAGCTGTCTTAAATTAATGTACTTGATCTTAAAGAGGGGAATGCTGGTTGGGAGAATTAGGAGGAGGAGATTTTATTTATTTTCCTTCCCAATATCAGAACTGTAACATTACATAATTGGATTGAGATTAGGCTAACTAGTTGATGGATGATAAAAGATTGAATAATTTTAATATCCTTATAAGAAAGGATGGGAGAGGAACTTTCAGTCTACCAGATCAAATGCCATCTATGCCCTCTAGGATTCTCTGATCCTTTGACTGGCAGCAGGGGGTTTTCCATCACCTGCCACTTGGGTCACATCCACACCATCCATTTAAAGCACTATTATAGCATGGGAAGGGTAGCTTTGTGAGGTCAGTAACCTCAACAAATCTACACTTTGCAGGATTCTATTAAAATGAGAGCGAGCAAGAGAGAGCTATTTCAAGTGGATAAAAGAGAGCAGGTCGCAGCAAAAGATCCACTTCCAAAGTGCAGACCATCAGCAGCTGATGTGATACACAAGCAGGGTGAGAAACCCAGGTAAGAGCAGGTGGGTGTGTTCTAGAGACCTGGTAAAGCACAGATCCACACTACATTTAAAGGGCATCTAACACACATTTAAAGCACGAGCGCCTCCAAATAATTCTGAGAACATTAGCTTCCCTCTCACAAAGCCACAATTCCTGGCTGCTTTACTAACTTCACTTCCCCAGGATTATGTGGGACAAGTCATGTGTTTTAAATGTTGGCTGGATATGCTTTAAATGGATGTGGTGGGTCTGCCCCTAGTCAGCCATTAGCCTGTGTAGGCAAACATGGAGTAAAAACACACATCTCTCTGAAAAAACACATGCCAAGTATGGAGTATGTTAAGGGTAATTACATTCATGAACACATCCCATATTTAAAAATTCATAAAATGCAGGATTGGGAAGAGGCTTACCCTGTCAATCTACTGCCTGCTCTTTTCCTGTCATGTGGAGCCAAGACATGCTGAGATTGCCAGCTCCATGTCAAATGCCCTTGCAAGCCCTCCATCGGGGCCGTGGCTTAGTGGTAGGGAATCTGCTTTGAGTGCAGAAAGCCCCTCCTTCAATCCCTGGCATCTCCAGGAAGGACTGGGAAAGAGTCTGGTCTGAAACTCCCAAGAGCACCTGCCTTTTGGTATAGACCATGGCTCAGCAAATTAAGGCCTGCAGGCCGGATCAGGCCCAACTGCCTTCTAAATCCAGCCCATGGGTGGTCCGGGAATCACCGCGTGAATCGCCAGCATTCTTTCCCTCTCCCTCCCTCTTCCTCCCATGGCGGCGACAGAACCTCCTCCCTCCCTCCTCCTGGCTTCTCCCCGCCCTGCCTAGAGGAGGAAGGGGGCTGGGCTTCGCTGGTGCCAGCCCCACTCCGGAGCCCTTTTACATGCCACTCATTGTCCCTCTGCCGCCAGCCCCTGCCGCTCGCAAGACACAGGAGCCGCGGTTGGCTGAGCGCCCCTCTTGAGAGGCCGCCATTTAAAGCAGCCCCTCTCCGGAGCCCTTTCATGCGCCACTCATCGTCCCTTGTTCATTCCCCCCCAAAAAATATATAGTCCGGCCCCCCACAAGTTCTGAGGGACAGTGGACTGGCCCCCTGCTGAAAACGTTGGACTTCACACATCTCTTAAAGGCAGTGGGTTTTAATCTGTGCTGTTACTCTGGGATTCCTCAAGGAGAGGGATTATTACCCAATGGCCCATGGCAGCTTTCCTTGCAATCTGTAACTGCAGGAGAAAGATGGATAAGTACATACTGTAGAGCATACTTTCATGGGGTGAGTGTCATCTGGCAAGCCTGGCCAGTTCCCTATATGGATTGAGACTGTGCCCAAGAATATGTCCCAGGATCAAGGGCAACAGGCTTAGTTCTTTGGCCTGGAGCCTGGGCTTCCTCTGCAAATGTGGGAATGGTTCTCTGAATGACGAGAGCTTGAAAATCAGTGTCTCTTCCATTGGCACCAATGGCAGTTTTCCTCCTGGAAATACTAGCAGGTTTGAGATGGACCCAGGATACAGCTAGACTGGTAAAGAAAAAGCGATTTACGGTACAGTCATGCCTCGGGTTGAAGTAGCTTTGGGATAAGTATTTTTAGGTTGCGCACTGCAGCGACCCGGAAGTAACGGAGCGTGTTACTTCCGGGTTTCGCCGCATGCGCAGACGGTCAAAATGACGTCACGTGCATGCGCAGAAGCGGCAAATCGCAAACCGTGCATGCACAGACGCGGGTTGTGTTCGCTTCTGGATGCGAACGGGGTTCTGGAACAGATCCCGTTCGCATCCAGAGGTGCCACTGTCTATGCGTTGTATATGCGATATAACATTGTGCCACCAGATGGCGATGTGGAGCCCCATTTTTCTCTACCTGTTTCCGCTGTTTAAATTTACAACGCTTTAAATTGAAACGCTTGTTTAATGTGTCTAGATCTAGCCCGAGAGCATAATGCAGGAGAAGAAAAGGTTAAATGCCCCCTCCCTACCTCCCCGTGGCCTCAGTCCTTATCAAACTCCTCTGCACCTGCCATTTAAGTTGGGGGGAGGGTGGATAACAAATAACAAAGAATGCATGAATGCATTTTATGTATCATTTGGTCAGTAGACGCTGGTTTTCCTGGAGAGCATTCTGAAATTGTTTGAGAATCGGGATAACCTTCAGGCTGTGACCGGGAATATGCTCGTTAGAGGTGACAAGAGCTGTAGTCCAAAACATCCATCGCGTACCATATTGGGGAAGGCTGATTTAGAAAGTGGTGGGTCTTATGGCAAGGGTACGTCTGTCTTTCTGGTTGCAGCCTAAGAAGTTGGCTGCCTAGTCTCACTCCACAACCCTCCCAACGCTTGCATGCGGCTGAGAATTTCAGCATGGCTCTCACGCCACAGCCTAAGCTGCGTCCCTAGTTCCAAGTGGCGCTTTCCCAGACTCTATGTATGATGCACTCTGTGAAACGATATCCTGAGCAAGACTGTGCTGTGCTTACAGTGTGTATCAATAAACTACGAACCTGTGTTCAACTGCCTCTGCTATTTTGACTGTCTACACTGCCACCAGGGAGCCCACAATAAGAGTGCATTGACATCTGCATAAATTGTGCATGTGTGGGTGTGCAGTAGAGCTATCCTTGCATTGTGGGCATTTTTGTTTCTTGACTTGCACAAATGCCATAATTGAGAAAGTTTTTTTCTTGGTCCTTATTTTTTTTTTTTTTTTAAATCATATTTATTAAAGTTTCCAAAAATATAAAAATACAAAGAAAAAAAAGAAAAAGAAAAAAAGATATTTAAAAACCTTACTTTCATTGCCTACTTTCGTGGAATCCCCCCCTCCCCCCCCCCCGACTGTATTCCCCTTTCCTTAATTTAGTTCTACAAGCTCTCACTCCCAATTTGAAGCTTGATTTGTTTAACCCACTATCCAAATTGAATTGTACAAATCTTACCACCGTCCCACATCATTAACAAGAAAAAGAAAAAGATTTTCCCCAAGATCCACCCCAGTTCCTTCCACGAATTCCCTTTTTTAAACACGTCCAATCAAAATAAAATGACATGCGTAAGTTATGTAAAAATAAAAATAAAAGATATAGAAAAATTCAAAAGATGGTTACACAGCCTTTGGATTTCAAATCTCCCCTTCCCGGTTTGAATTCCCCATATCCATCAGTCTATGCATTATCAGCTTGGAAGTCTCAATTCATGACCAAATTTCTCCCGATTCCATCTTGCCGGTTTTCTTTTAATTTATTAATAATATGTAACTTCAAGTGTCCAATCTAACAAAGGCCTTTAATTTCCTTGATCTTTACCACTCCTCCCGTTGTTCTTTCCGTGTCGTAATCAGTCCTTTGTTCTTCTTTTCCTCACTTTCTCAGGTTTCTTGTCCTGTTCAGCTGCTAAAACTTTCTAATTCAGAAATCTGGTATCTCTGCAGAGGTTTGTTATTCAGGAACAAAAACTTACGTCCAGTCCCTTCCTTTCTTCAATAGAAAATTCTATTGTCTCCTTTAATGTAAATACCTCTGTAGACAAAATACTATTTCAGTTTTGCAGCTTTCCCAAAAGATAACAAGTCCTGTGCGAATCCCAGAGTATTTTTCCACTTACGACCGTTCTTGTAATATCCCGAAACCCCTCTAGGGGTTTGTAATAACTTTGTATCCTCTAATCCAAAAGTCAAATTGTTGCTTATTTTCCAACAGTTTATATCCATATTGTAGCAAATTGTAGCAAAATTAACCGGCAAAGTCCTCATAACAAAGTCCTCTTTATATTCTCCAACTTTGACAGCCACTTTGACAGCTGTCAAAGTCTCCGTCTCTCTTCACCAGGCTCCACGAATCGCCCCGGTTCCCAGGGGGGGGGGGTTGCATTTTTCTTCTCACCCTCCACTCTTCTCCTCCAGCACAGTTCTTATAATTTCCCATCGTGAAATTAATGGTTTTTATCAAGAATATACTTCCCTTTGGACCTTGGTTACCCAGTCCTTGTTTTGGAATGCTTACAGTAGGGGGGGGGATTGACTTCCTTTTAAATCGCCCCGCTCGTGCCAATCCGAAATTTTGAACCCGGTTTCCCAATTACTCACGGGTTGTTGTTAATAGTCCAAATTTTCAATGGAAGAAGTCAGCGCTCTCCGTCGAATGGCATGCGGCTGCGCTCGGCAGGGAAAGCAGAGGACTCAAAGCACCACGCCGCTCCCCGGCACCCGATCCGAAGCCTTTAAAAGGCTCCTTCACGAGTCGGGAGGGCGCTAATGGTGCAAGCCGAGTCACCCATGTCCACGGACTCCGTGCCCGTGGTTTTTAAGGGTCCCCGCGTCGCCGGCGCGGTAGGACCCAGCCCCTGCCGAGCAGACTCCCTCCGGAGCTCGGAGGGAGTCCGCCATTCGGCGATGGCGCCAACCCGGAAGCCTTGGTCCTTAAAGACTCCAATGCAGACTGAGCGATGATTTCTCTTCTTTCATCATTTTCCATGAATCCATATTCATAAATGTAGACTTTGTTGACCACAGGCAAAGGTCCTCACACAAAGTTCTCATGTCCCATCTAACCATTTACACAATCCATACCTAAGGATAATTCAGCATCATTCAGAGCAGGAAAACCATTACAGTCTCAGGTTTCATTCAGAATTCAGATGACCTTATTGAGTATTCATCCACATTTTGCCCAAAATTAGCTAGAGGTTATACCACATCGGTATACTGAGCCTTCGTTCTGATTTGTTTGCAGGGTGTTTGCTTGACATTGCATCAAGCAATTGGAACCCCCCACTTTCTGCTACATTTTCCTGTTACTTTCCTAATTGCAAAAAGTATGTTGAAAAAAGCAGGCTTGTTGCTCAAGAATGCCAAATCCAGTTAAATTACACAACCTGAATTTGCCGATATGTCACTGAATCTCAAGAATACTAAGCATGAAAGTGCCCTCTGTGCTCAGGTTAAATTGTATCCTTGCTATTTGCAGAAGTCTTGCTCCAGAGATAATGATTGCTATTGCCACATGATTGTTTATTTAGAGATGATGATAAGGATGCATTTAAGCCTAATCCTCCATACATATACTAACTTCTACTCCCTTACACCTTACATTAACTAGCAATATTAGGAACCTTAATAATAATGTAACAGGAAGTTTTTAATGTTTGATGTTTGCTTTTTATATGTGTTGGAAGCTGCCCAGAGTGGCTGGGGCAACCCAGCCAGATGGGTGAGGTATAAATAGTAAAATTATTATTATTATTATTAATGATACTAATAAGCTCCAATGCTGTTGTTGGAGCCCCAGCTGTTTTGCAACTACAATTCCCATCCTCCCATCATCCCTGACCACTGGTCCTGTTAGCTAGGGATGATGGGAGTTGTAGTCCCAAAACATCTGGAGGGCCATGTTTGGCCATTCCTGGAACAAAGTGGTCCTTTTGTCCATCACTTTTGCCCAACTACCAAAAGCAGACCTGCTTTGGGTATGTCTGCTCCTTAGCAAGTTGTGTGCCATGAGCGATGAATATCCAGTGCATGGTGCGAAAATATTTGCTTTACCTGTCTATCATGGATTTCTATATATTGCCCTTCAATCAAATGACCAGG